CACCAAGCCAGTGGTGCGCGTCGCCAGCCCGGCCCGGCCTGTTCCTGCCCCTCGCACCAAGCCAGTGGTGCGCGTCGCCAGCCCGGCCCGGCCTGTTCCTGCACCTCGCACCAAGCCAGTGGTGCGCGTCGCCAGCCCGGTCCGGCCTGTTCCTGCTCCTCGCACCAAGCCAGTGGTGCGTGTGTCCAGTCCGGCACGACCCGTGCCTGTTCCACCGGTGCCTGGTTCGGCACCGGTCAGCTGCTCTACTCCGGAGCCAGAGCAATCCGCTTCACCGGGGTCCAGTCCAGCTCCGGTCAGCGGCTCCACTCCGGAGCCAGAGCAGTCCGCTCCACCGGTGCCTGATCCAGCTCCGGTCAGCTGCTCCACTCCGGAGCCAGAGCAGTCCGCTCCACCGGGGTCTAGTCCAGATCCGGTCAGCGGCTCCACTCCGGAGCCAGAGCAGTCCACTCCACCGGTGCCCAACCCAGCTCCAGTCCAGACCCAGACGTCAGCCCCTCTCCAGGTTCGGGGTCTCCCACACCAGGGTCCAGACAGGGCTTGGAGTATAGACGGAGGAAGGAGAGGGGAAGCAACGCGCCGAGGTCTAGACCAGACCAGGGGCGCAACAGGGAGGCGAAGAGTGAGAGATCGTCACGCCATGAGCCGGATCCGCCTCCAAGGCAGAATGCCCACCCGGCCCCTACCCTGTTATGTTTATGTTGTGCGGTCGGAGTCCGCACCTTTGGGGGGGGGGGGGGTACTGTCACGCCCTGACTCTGGGGACTCTTATTTGTTGAGCCAGGGTGTGATTTTCTATGTTTGTGATCTAGGTTTTCTAGATCAATGTTGGCCGGTGTGGTTCCCAATCAGAGGCAGCTGTCGCTCGTTGTCTCTGATTGGGGACCATACTTAGGCAGCCTATTGGCACTAGTGGGTTGTGGGATCTTGTTCCGTGTTAGGTATGTTGTTTGTGTACCTTGGAGTTTCGTTTCTTGTTTTGTCGTTGTGTTTAATAGTCAAATAAACATGTATGCATATCACGCTGCGCCTTGGTCCTTCTCCTTCATGAACGAGTGTGACACATCTGTTTCCTCATTTAACTCAATTTAATGGGTGACCGAACTTTAAAAAACGGGGAAAATATGTGTACTTTCTTAATAAAACACAATTTTCCGCCACTATGCTAGAGTGCCTAATGCTACATCCGGATGTTGCGCACCGCCTTCAGCCAGGGGTAAACAGACTGCTTCAACCACTCTACCATGGTGCTGGAAAATGGTTGTAGTTAGACAGTAGGCCTATGCATATTTCCGCCTTTTTTTGTCCGAGCCGCCATTAAATCGAATTATGGTGAAAACCGATGCCTTTGCAGCCTGAACGGAGGATGTTTTTTGTACTCGCTGGTCGCGGGGGGTTAGGAGTGCAAGCCTTCTTACGTTGGGGAGCCAAAGACCAGACAACATATACTTTGGCGAACCTTGGGGCTATTGTGGTTGACTGTGCAAGAAGGGCTGTTCCAGATGAGTGATTAACTCACTAATGTGTGGAATGAGCCTGTGCCACTACTTGAGCAAGCTGGAAACTCCCGGGAATTTCCTGTAAGATTTCTTATCGTCATGGTACAACACAAAAGCCAACATGTCAAGAGATGTCGGGCAATTCCACGGTAACGAAATTGCACTGATACTCAGATTTTTCACTTAAAATGTATGCCAAACAAAAACCTTTGATTTAAAAGTTTAACAAACCATACAACTCTATGCTAGTGATGGGGTGGGGGGGGAATAAATACAGTTGAAGTCGGAAGTTTACATACACTTAGGTTGGAGTCATTAAAACTCGTTTTTCAACCACTCCACAAATTTCTTGTTAACAAACTATAGTTTTGGCATGTCGGTTAGGATATCTACTTTGTGCATGACACAAGTAATTGTTTACAGACAGATTATTTCACTTATAATTCATTGTATCACAATTCCAGTGGGTCAGAAGTTTACATACACTAAGTTGACTGTGCCTTTAAACAGCTTGGAAAATTCCTGAAAATGATGGCATGGCATAGAAGCTTCTGATAGGCTAATTGACATAATTTGAGTCAATTGGAGGTGTACCTGTGGATGTATTTCAAGGCCTACCTTCAAACTCAGTGCCTCTTTGCTTGTCATCATGGGAAAATCAAAAGAAATCAGCCAAGACCTCAGAAAAACATGTGTAGACCTCCACAAGTCTGGTTCATCCTTGGGAGCAATTTCCAAATGCCTGAAGGTACCACGTTCATCTGTACAAACAATAGTACGCAAGTATAAACACCATGGGACCACGCAGCCATCATACCGCTCAGGAAGGAGACGCGTTCTGTCTCCTAGAGATGAACGTACTTTGGTGCGAAAAGTGAAAATCAATCCCAGAAAAACAGCAAAGGGCCTTGTTGGAGGAAACAGGTACACAAATATCTATATCCACAGTAAACGAGTCCTATATCGACATAACCTGAAAGGCCGCTCAGCAAGGAAGAAGCCACTGCTCCAAAACTGCCATAAAAAATCCAGACTAAGGTTTGCAACTTCACATGGGGACAAAGATTTTACTTTTTTGAGAAATGTCCTCTGGTCTGATGAAACAAAAATAGAACTGTTTGGCCATAATGACCATCGTTATGTTTGGAGGAAAAAGCGGGAGGCTTGCAAGCCGAAGAACACCATCCCAACTGTGATGCACGGGGGTGGCAGCATCATGCTGTGGGGGCGCTTTGCTGCAGGAGGGACTGGTGCACTTCACAAAATAGATGGCATCATGAGGAAGGAAAATTACGTGGATATATTGAAGCAACATCTCAAGACATCAGTCAAGAAGTTAAAGCTTGGTCGCAAATGGATCTTCCAAATGGACAATGACCCCAAGCATACTTCCAAAGTTGTGGCAAAATGGCTTAAGGACAACAAAGTCAAGGTATTGGAGTGGCCATCACAAAGCCCTGACCTCAATTCTATAGAAAATGTGTGGGCAGAACTGAAAAAGCGTGTGGGAGCAAGGAGGCCTACAAACCTGACTCAGTTACACCAGCTCTGTCAGGAGGAATGGGCCAAAATTCACCCAACTTATTGTGGGAAGCTTGTGGAAGGCTACCTGAAACGTTTGACCCAAGATAAACAATTTAAAGGCAATGCTACCAAATACTAATTGAGTGTATGTAAACTTCTGACCCACTGGGAATGTGATGAAAGAAATAAAAGCTGAAATAAATCGTTCTCTCTACTATTATTCTGACATTTCACATTCTTAAAATAAAGTGGTGATCCTAACAGGGAATTGTTACTAGGATTAAATGTCAGGAATTTCGAAAAACGGAGTTTAAATGTATTTGGCTAAGGTGTATGTAAACTTATGACTTAAACTGTAGTTACATATCAAAATATTATTTGTGATAAATTGTATCGTTTTGACAATATCGCAATATTATTTTTGCGCTAGTTGGCTGTACCGTCACCAAAACTCCAATATTTTAGCATCATAGCTTGTTCTCCATCTTCTTTTCGGAAGCCAATTTGTTTTCAGGCCTTTTATTTCCATGACTGATCAAAACGAGTTTTCTCATGGCTCTCTCTTGTCCCACTGCAGCAGATATATGGTGAGCAACATGTTTAGAACATCGAATCGCAATAAATTCACTGTATCAAATCGCAATACATGAGAATCGGCATCTAAGTATTGTGATATCGTATCGTGAGGTCCCTGGCAATTCCCAGCCCTACTCTGCACAAGGACTACTTTTAACAGTTGACACAAAACAATATCCCTGTGAGCCAAATGGCTGAACATTTCATATGCTATATGGAACAATTAAAGTTGGGTTGTCTTGTGATGTCTGGATTCCCCTGAAGGACAGTAGTCTTTGCACCAACAATTAATCCCCTTCTTTCTTACTTTTTTAAGCCATATTCATCAGGCCACAGTTGAGACATTGTCTTACTGTTTGCGATGGTCACAATATTCCTGGCTAATTGGATAACTAACGCAGAAAATGTCTGCATGCCGGCTCTAGTATGTGTACTATGGGTGGAGCATACATTATAAATGGTTTCTGGTAAATGTGTAGGGTGTTTCTTTTGGACTTTGGTTGTTCTCGCTGAAGGAGCCAAGGGATGACAGAGACAGAACTGGTTAGACTACTGAATGTCACAAGGCATTAAGATTAGAGCAGGCTGGTGTGACAGATTAGATGAATGACAAGTCTTTATTATTGTCTTATTTGCTATATTGTCCTATTTGAGCGTAGGGATGGGCTTCAGACATGACTGGACAGTGTTGGGGCGCTAATAAAGGCATCGCGTGATGGTATTTGGTTGTTTTTCTAATCTGTCATTCAGCGTGTTCTGTTCTGTTATTTACCACCAGAGTCGTTCCATGTCATTTCAGCAAGCCATGATACCCACCATCTCAGATTGTTATGACATTGTTTCTGTGGTTAGAAACAGGTAAGATTGGCATTCCTGAAACATTATTTTCTTGACATTTTATTGTATCTCTGAGAAATGAAGCTAATTGATTGCACCCAAATGGGCCCTTTTAATTAATAGGATTCAGATAATATTCAATAAATATAGTACCCGACATCCGATTTGGACCATACTTTTTCCTACCAATGAGTAAGATCTGAGGAATCCCCCCAAAATTGTCAAAAGCCACCCACGGTGTGGTCATCTTCACAATTCAAGCCAGTCCTGTCACAAAGGTGAGCTTGATGGGAACTAGACTCGGTCAGTCAGTTCAACAGGATTTACATGAATTACACTGGGAGAACAATTCTCAACAATAATATAATGTGCCACTGTGTAGACTGGTGACTCAAATGACAACTCATTACATGCGACTATACTGACATGAACTATAGATGGTGAATTCCAGCTTATCTCATGCAGTATTCTTGTAAATTGGCCTCTTTATGTCTTTATGGTGTCATGCAATGTATGATAGCCATTGTCTTGTGTATCTTCCACCATCTCTGTCTGTCTGTCTAGGCATCTCGGAGACTATGGACATGCTTGTGTGGGAACACTCTTTTCTTCTTCAACAACACCAACGACAGCGATGTGAGTTAACTGGAAGTAATGGGCTAGAGAAGGGGACATTAGATAGAGGAAAGATCAGTGGTCGGTCTATTGGGGTGGTGGGCAGTCCCATTTATCAATGTATACTCGTTTGTGTGTGTTTTCAACAGTATGTGGAGAAACTGGAGCTCCGTGACCTCATCTCCGTGACGGATGACTGCAGTCGGGACAGAAACCTGGAGGCAGCCAGACTCATCCTGCGCATGGAGGATGGGGAGATCAAAATCACTGTAAGGACATGGCTGACTATTTTCCTTTTTGTTTTGCATTACAATTGTTTTATCAATGGTTTAATGGGTTCTCTCCCTCCCTCTACAGGCCCCAAGTCTAGAAGCTCGAGAACTATGGAAAGGTTTCATCTACTCTGTATTTGAGGTTAGTGAAACATGATACAGCTAATTCACTATCATACCACATATGGCTCAGTAGGCTAGTTTTCCTGGTAATACCTGGTCAGTAAACTGAGAATAATTCATTTTATCTCTGGGTTCAAGCACTGCTTATCAAAAAAACACAAAGGGACTTTCTCCAGTCTTGACAGGGATTATAATAACATCAAATCACAAATATAATATTTTTATTTGTTTTTTTGTAATTTTACCCCCCTTTTTCTCCCCAATTCCGTGATATCCAATTGCGATCTTGTCTCATCGCTGCAACTCCCCAATGGGCTCGGGAGAGGCGAAGGTCGAGTCATGCGTCCTCCAAAACATGACCCGCCATTTGATGAAATAGCATTGGCAACAATGGCATAATGGCACACAGCTTAGTCAATATTGCCTCAAACATTTCCAGTGTTTCATGGCCTTTGGTCTAAATGATGGTAAATACTCCTTGTGTCTCTCCCTCCAGCTGTCAGTGCCCAGCTCACTCAACCTGCTGCCAGGCCAGATCCACATGATGAGAGAGACGGTAGAGACCGAGAGGGAGAGACGGAAGACCCTGTCCCCTACCCCTGCTTCAGCATCCAGCTCCAACCTTTACCTCAGCCTCGTAGGGGACATGCCTGCGTGAGTGCCCTATATATACATTATAAGACTAGGGGACAAAGGTGTTGATAGTCGGAGGTTTACACTGGGCTCTTTACTGGTGTCTGGCTAGCTCTGTTTGCCCAATTTTGTACTACTGTTCAGATGTGCTATATGTGGATGTTCTGTGTGCAGGTGTTACCAGCCCGTGTCTCGTACTGAGGCAGAGATGACGTTGGAGAGACACTCTGATTGTGGGAACCTGCTACTACGGCCCGGCAGGGACGGCGCCTCATTGGCTGTCACCACTCGACAGGACCTCAATGGGTACGCTTCCCCATTCCTACAGTACAATCAAAGAAAATACATGTCACATGATCATTTGATTAATAGTCTATGAAAGCAACATGCATGCTGAATCAAGTGAAGGAAAGGCCATACTTATTTGTTCATGTGACAGATTATTGCTTATAATCAATTAATGTGCCGCTCATTGATACTATCGCTCTCTTCTGTCAGGTCTGTGTTCAGACACTATCGCGTGACAAGGAAACATGACGGAGGATACACAATTGATGTAGAGACTCCAGTGAGTGTTTCCTGCTTCCTCATTCCCGAATACACCTGCTTGTCCACTGCCACACACAACACTTTAAACACAATACTTTAATGAGTTTTTATTTGTCTAATAGAACATAAAATAATCAATTTATAAAAAGTTATTTTCTTTATGGCAAATAACTATTTCTCACTTTTCCTCATTCTAAATGTATGAATGGGAATTCTCGTCTTGACTCTAGAGAGGCATTGAACCTCAGGTTAACCCAATGTGAGGGAGTGATAAGGAAGACATTGATGAAATATTCCACATGTAGTCACAGGACAATAAACCATAAGATTCTTTGCCTGCCCTTGTTTTCTCCTGAAAAACAGACAAATATATTACCTTTATTGGTGCTTTTTGATGTTATGACCTGGATAAGGCCTTAGTTTTAGCCAATCTCTGAGCACTTTACTCTGATTGCTGGCACAGAGTGCGTGCTAAATGTTTCTCTAAATGGGCCATATTGACAGAGTTGTCAGCTGTTTCACTGTATTTACAGTATGAGGTGGTGTATGCAGAATGTTAATGATGATGGTTCTGCCTGTAGATCTCCTGTGCCACACTGCATGATGTCATCAACTGTCTGGTGGACAGGACTAATGGAACTCTGACACCCTTCATTATGGAAGGACCCTATGAAGAGAGCATCAGTAAGACAGAGCACACACCACTTACTACTGCTCTCTTTCATTCGCTCCATCTTACGTTCTGTCTCTTACATTCTTCCTCATTTTCTCTCTCTCTCTCTCTCTCTCTCTCTCTATCTCTCTCTCTCTCTCTCTCTCTCTCAGTTTTCCCTCTCATTCTCAGTTTTCCCTCTCATTCTCAGTTTTCCCTCTCATTCTCAGTTTTCCCTCTGGGTTTCTGTTCCTTGTCCATCATGAACTAAATATAGCTCTGGCTTATCAGTCATGTTGGTCATACCATTCATGCCCTCTGTCTCCGCAGCATTTGTTCAGGCAAATGAGGAGAATGGAGAGAAGAGTCTGCAGTGTGTCCCCAGTACTCCCATCCCCCGTGTGCCAGTCCCTGCTCTACCTCCCAAACCAGGTATACATACATCCCTTACTGGGACCTCCTTGACCCTGTTAACAAACACACACGCACTCACACGTTAACAATGTCACCAAATGCACTTAACCACTTATAGCTCTCATTCAAATTAGGAATTAGAGATAGTTGCCTTTAACACACATTTTTTGACAAGTAGACAAGACAGGTAGTCCATTTGCGTCATGTTAGACGCAATCTGGCGTAAGACAATGGGAAAGGATCTGATCCTAGATCTACTTGGCAACTTCTATCTCAAGCTTCAAATTATGAATGTTTTGCCTTATTAATGAACAGCTTCAATGAGTTGTTATGCTAAAGAGGAGATAAAAGGGAATATTGTGTTTTAATCCCAGGTCCAACTCCAGAGTCTGAGTCAGATAGAGGAGAGAGTCTTTACCTCAATGACACCCGTGAGTACTATCCTCTGTCCCCCTCCCCTCTGTCTTCAAACACACTTCAAGTATGATTTAATTCCTCACCCTCGGTTACTATTCTTGTCTGTGTTCTTTTCCAGAGAAAGAAAAGGAAGAAGACACTACTGTGCAGCCTACTCACCCCTCTCAGACCCCTCCCACACGCTTTCGTCTGCCAGGTGAGTCCCACTATCTTAAAACTACTGGTACCGTACTACTCTAACAAGTTAACTAAAACTAAAACTAAAATAGGAAAAAACGATTTAGTAAACTGCAGTGGTGGAAAAAGTAACCAATTGTCATACTTGAGTAAAAGTAAAGATTCCTTAATAGAAAATGACTCAAGTGAAAGTCACCCAGTAAAATTCTACTTGAGTAAAAGTATTTGGTTTTAAATATACTTAAGTATCAAAAGTAAATGTAATTGCTAAAATATACTTAAGTATAATTTCAAATTCCTTATATTAAGCAAGCCAGACAGCACCATTTTCTTGAATTTTTTTATGTATGGATAGCCAGGGGCACTCTCCAACACTCAGACATAATTTACAAAGAAGCATGTGTTTAGTGAGTCTGCCAGATCAGAGGCAGTAGGGATGACCAGGGATGTTCTCTTGATAAGTGTGGGAATTAGACCATTTTCTTGTCCTGCTAAGCATTCAAAATGTAATGAGTACTTTTGGGTGTCAGGATAAATGTATGTAGTAAAAAGTACATCATTTTCTTTAGGAATGTAGTAAAGTAAAATATGTAAAAAATATCAATAGTAAAGTACAGATACCCAAAGAAACTACTTAAGTAGTACTTTCAAGAATGTTTACTTAAGAACTTTACACCACTGGTAAACTGAAATAAAATAATAAAGAAAAACTAAAACTATACTGAAACATATCTTTGACTGCAAAATAAATTAAAAACCATCATAAATAGTTCAGTGTTTTTATTTTATTTTTTATTTTTCAAATAGGCCTAGCTTGTGCATCACTCACTAGCTATTACCAGAGAGGAAGAGGCGAAGCGAGAGAATTACCTCCGCCCAAAACCTTTCCCTGCGAGATAAGCAGACATTTTTGCATGGTGGTCTGAGTGTCAAATTACATGAGGCTTATTTGATTAAATAGAGTAGTGTTTAGGTTGTTACAAATATTCTGATATGAGAGCCCTGCTATAGGCCTATAACACATAAATGGGACTAGCCTCCCACGCATAGGCTACTTTCTGTCCCTAACACTGAAACTAAATATAAAAATTAAATAATGAAAACTAACTGAAACTAAACTGAATTTCAAAAAAACTAATATAAAATCACTACTATAATACCTTGCCTCAGCCATTAACAAACTGAAAGATATTTCATGAACTATGTACTTGAAATGTATAGAGGAGCAACATTTTGAAACATATTGTTTTATGTTTCAGTGATGATGCCCCGTCAGACCCCCCATTTGCCCCATCAGACATCTCTGTCAAGTGAAGTGCCGCTCAGCTCTGGTGAGCAGCCTGTTGTCTTGACTTCTGCTTTCTTGCAAAGATAATTTTTGTTCACAACAGATTGTTTTCGTGGTCTTGGTAGATACAGTGCATGCGGAAAGTATTCAGACCCCTTGACTTTTTCCAAATGTTATTACGTTACAGCCTTATTCTACACATAAATACCCCAGAATAACAAAGCGAAAACAGGTTGTTATAAATGTTTGCAAACGTATTAAAAATAAAAAACATATCTTTATTTACATAAGTATTCAGACCCTTTGCCATGAGACTCGAAATTGAGTTCGGGTGCATCCTGTTTCTATTGATCATTCTTGATATTTCTACAACTTGATTGGAGTCCACCTGTGGTCAATTCGATTGATTGGACATGATTTGGAAAGGCACACACCTGTCTATATAAGGTCCCACAGTCGACAGTTCATGTCAGGTCAAAAACCAAGCCATGAGGTCAAAGGAATTGTCCGTAGAGCTCCGAGACAGGATTGTGTCAAGGCACAGATCTGGGGAAGGGTACCAAAATATTTCTGCAGCATTGAAGGTCACCAAGAACACAGTGGCCTTTTATCATTCTTAAATGGAAGAAGTTTGGAACCACCAAGACTCTTCCTAGAGCTGGCCACCCGGCCAAACTGAGCAATCTGGGGAGAATGGCCTTGGTCAGGGAGGTGACCAAGAACCCGATGGTCACTCTGAGACAGCTCCAGAGTTCCTCTGTGGAGATGGCATATGTAAAAACGCACATGACAGCCCGCTTGGAGTTTGCCAAAAGGCACTTAAAGACTCTCAGACCATGAGAAACAAGATTCTCTGGCCTGATGAAACCAAGATTGAACTCTTTGGCCTGAATGCCAAGCGTCACGTCTGGAGGAAACCTGGCACCATCCCTACGGTGAAGCATGGCGGTGGCAGCATCCTGCTGTGGGGATGTTTTTCAGCGGCAGGGACTGGGAGACTAGTCAGGGTCGAGGGAAAGATGAAAGGAGCAAAGTACAGAGAGCTCCTTGATGAAAACCTCCTCCAAAGCGCCCAGGACCTTAGACTAGGGTGAAGGTTCACCTTCCAACAGGACAACGACCCTAAGCACACAGACAAGCAACGCAGGAGTGGCTTCGGGACAAGTCTCTGAATGTCCTTGAGTGGCCCAGCCAGAGCCCGGACCTGAACCCGATCCAACATCTCTGGAGAAACCTGAAATTAGCTGTGCAACAACACTCTCCATCCAACCTGACAGAGCTTGAGAGGATCTGCAGAGAAGAATGGGAGAAACTCCCTAAATACAGGTGTGCCAAGCTTGTAGCGTCATAGCCAAGAAGACTCGAGGCTGTAATTGCTGCCAAAGGTGCTTCAACAAAGTACTGAGTAAAGGGTCTGAATACTTATGTAAATTTGATATTTCCGTTTTTTATTTTAAATAAATTGGCAAAAAGTTCTAAAAACCTGTTTTTGCTTTGTCACTATGGGTTATTGTGTGTAGATTGAGGGGGGGGGGGGGGGGGAGAAACACTTTACTCCATTTTAGAATGAGGCTGTAACGTAACAAAATGTGGAAAAAGTCAAGGGGTCTAAATACTTTCCGAATGCACTGTATATCATTTTATAAGGCAGTCGACATGCAAAAAAAAACGTATCATGGCACCTTGTTGTTTTTTGTCTTGCGTGTTTCTTTTTTAGGCTATCCACTGAATCTTCCCTTTGGGAATCAATCAGTCAATGAAATTGTTCTCCCTTGTGTTGTAGGACCTGAGAGGAAGGCCCTGATGCCACCACTGGTGCCCTCTGTTCGTACACCTCATACCTTCCGCTCCACCTCTACAGATACCCCTGACACCAGGTTGAGAAGCATCACTGTGACTTCTGTCACACCAGACACTGTTGCTCAGAGTAGGTCAACCATTTTGATCTTTTCTTTTTTACTATCTTTTCATTTAGAAGAGTTCCATCCATCTAGAATATGATTTTGAGAGGTAATAGCTCAGGGAACTTGTTACAAATGTATTGTTGAAATGCAAATAAAACCATTCCAAAGTTAAATCCTTAAATGCTGTTTTTTTTTACTCTCTTGTGTTCCTTTCAGCCATCTCTGAGGAGCTCAAGTTGAAGTTGGAGAAGAGGCGGGCGCAATATCAATAACCTCTCCTGGCAGCTTAGTCAACCAGCAAGTGGGAAAAACCTGCTACAACAATGGCATCACAACAAAATGGGGACACTCCCTCAACATTCTACTACTACTGCCCTAACATGTCACTTTCTATGGTAGACAGACAGACATGGACCGTGTTTCCCTCTGTCAGACTCAGCCTCTCTGGGCTACTCTGGCCGCCTCCTCCCTTGGGCTGGGTGCCTGATCTCGCCCTGCTCCTTCTCAGCTGGCTGTGTCAGCTCAGACTCTAAGATGAATGCCTTATCGATTCCTCCTTCCTGTATCGCTTCATCTAACCCAGACACTAGCAAATTAACGCACTGTAAATCGCCATGTAAATGTCACATTATTCTCACCACAGTTGTTTGTATATTTGCATATTTATTGAAAAAGTACAATATGCCTACAGTATCAAATATTTGTCTAAACCTGTCAGTGTTTTTCTGTCTTCTATATTTATACTGAGATCACTATATATTTGTCTCTCAATTCTACAACAGACTTTTGTCAGAAAGGCAATGAAGCCAATGTGTTATTGTCTCTGGCTGTATCCTGAATGAAATCAAAGGAATCACAGGGATCCTGTCTCTATTCTTGTGAGAACAAAATTGATCTGATATCTTTCAAAATGTAGTAGTCTTGACACCTGAAATGTACTTCTGGTCCTCAATGTACAGACTGAGAGGAACACAGGGCTGTCTTACTGGTTTATTAACAGTGTATGACAGACACATACATACTGTAGTGGAAAAATGTAAGGAACATATTTACATGTCAAATATCTTTACCCATGAAGTAAAGTAAAAACTATTCTCCAGTGGAAGCTTTAAAGCATTGCAGGTTATATTCACACGATGCATACCATCAACGTAGACTGTATTTAAAATAATAGCATCCCAGCACTGAGTTTAGACATCAGGTGACATGAATAAGGACTGGTGTTAACATTGGTAAACACTTGCTGCAACATCATCTCGGAATGTTTATTTCTTATCCAGGTAGTCCCCACCCAGCTCATAAAATGGCTTCTCTTCTCACTTCAGGTGGTGATTAAACGGTGACAAGTCAGGGGGACACTCGTTACAGTACAATACAATATTCAGACCCTCCGACCCATACAAACACTTCCCCAAGATCCAATCAGCAGTACTGTATTTCCAGCTCTGTCTCACCTGGTCCACACAGCTGCTGGCAATGTAGAATTCAATACATTCTTCCTTATGTAGCAATAAACTAGTGTTTATATAGTGACTATAAGCAGGTCGTTGTGCTACAAAGTTATTTGGGTTATACAGGCAAATGAGGTGGTTCTGTACTGAGAAGCAACTAGCAAAATTAGAGGCAGAGGATTCCAAACATTCAGTATGTATTAATGACTACTGTACTACTACCACGTTATATGGACTATTTGTTTTTAGTTGCATTGGGGTCTTTGTCTGTTGCATTGAAATATTAACATATAATATTGTGCCTAGCTCCTAATATATTGGTAACTGGGTTATCTTCATTTGGCCTTTGTTGAATTATGGATATGAATGAAATGACTTTATGATTCAGTTCTGCATAAGTGTGTATACTGATGGGGGCACCTCTCTGGAAGGCACAGGGTGTGTAGTGAGCTGATTGGGATCAGGCAGAGTAGGACCCATCGCCCCAGGCAGGTGTGGTGTGTATGGGGGCGTTTGGGTGAGCAGCTAACACCACACAACCTGAATGGGGTAAAGTTCTGCTGCAGCGGTTGGTTCTGGCTGGGGCCCAGGTGGGTCTAGGTGAGGCTGGCGTTGGAGCTGCTGGTACCACTGTTCTTCCTCTGGCCGCTCTGCACCGCACTGGGCACCTGCAGACCCGTCTGCACTGAGAAACTCCCATTCCACACCTGCAGGGGGAGACAGCACATGCTTAACTCACAGGCAGTTATCAAAGATACCGGTAGTGGTTTCATAACTTTTTAATCTGTGAGCCACCCAAAAATCGATGTTTCTCACCGAGAAGGCTGGTATGACAGGCTGCGTGAACTTGGTTCGAAAGGTGTGCATCAGTGTCTTGGTTCTGGCGTTGTAGAAAGACAGTGCACCTGGATGGAGAGAAAGGTAATGTGACACAAGGCAGCTTGAAATTTGATTCAGCGGCATAGCTAAGGAACACTGAGTGGAAAGGGAAAGGGGGATATCTAGTCAGTTGTACAACTGAATGCATTCAACTGAAATGTGTCTTCCAGACTAGATGCAGACTGCAGACAGGCACCAGTGAAATGAACATGTTCATTTGACTACATTACCCAACCCATTCCTGGTCCAATCCTTAATCCAGACCAATTTAATGAAGTCCAGATAACAACATGCTGTATGTCAGTCTGAGTTAAGTGGTGCTAACTGGATGGAGGAAACTGCTACAAAGGGAACAGGAGATCCATCTCACCCTCCTCGTAGTTGCAATAGACCCCTATGCGGTCCGGGATAGGACAGTCCAGGGTGCGGGCCTTGTTGTTGTGCTTGGCTGTGAGGCTCTGCTGCAGCCAGTTGTTCAGGTGGATGCACCATGAGGCATTGCTCTTCCCCAGCTGGTCAAAGCGGCCCAGGTTCCGCAGGGCCAAGCCCACAGCGAACGCCTTGCTCTCCTTATCGAAACGCACCTCCCAGTACTGCTGGCCTGCGTCGATAAAAGTGTCTCCCAGTACAGTGTAGGACTCAGCCGTGAATCGGTCTCTGCCGACCCGAGCAGACGGCACTCTCTTAGGTGAATTCATGGCCGTCCTAGGAGAGGAGGCCACCAACGTTGAACATCAACTTTCATTCTATACACTGTTAAGAGTACACAAAGGATTTGGCATAAAATGTTTCTGACCTGGCAGGTGAGTGCATGGGAGATTGGTTGGTTCTGTTCTTGTCCTTGCGGATGTCCTGGACAACCTTCCCCCCACAGCTGTCCCACTCCACACTGAGGTCCTCCACCTTCAGGTTCTGATGGGCCGAGCCTGCATCCAGCTTGAACAGGAAAGCTGAAAGGAGAGGTGGAGAGAGGGTTTGCTGACTCATTCTTATCATGACATCATTAGGCCATTAAGGACAATAAGCTACATACATTCTCCCGGTGGAGGACTATGTCCAGTTCCGGTCACTCACCATGTGTCTCCAGTGTTACAAGCTCAGAGAACTCTCCTGCCACAGCCTTGTTACATGCCTTCACACGAAATGTCATGTAGCGTGTGTCGAAGCGAAGCCCTGAAAATACATAATAATAATAATGAATTTGATGGCTACTTGACAATTACATTTGGTAGATTAGAGTCAACGTATTACTCCTAGGCTACTGCATCCAAAGACAGGCCTTTTTTCATACTACACTCCTCTCACTACAGTGAGCTCCAAAAGTATTGGGACAGTGACACATTTGTTGTTGTTTTGGCTCTGTACTCCAGCACATTGGACTTTAAATGATACAAACTGTCAGCTTTAATTTGAGGGTATTTTCATCCATATCGGGTGAACCGTTTAGAAATTACAGCACTTTTTGTACAAATTCACTTATATATGTATTCAAGTAGTCAAAAGTGTAGTATTTGGTCCCATATTCCTGGCAAGCAATGATTACATCAAGCTTGTGACTCTACAAACTTGTTGGATGCATTTGCTGTTTGTTTTGGTTGTGTTTCTGATTATTTTGTGCCCAATAGAAATTAATGGTAAATAATGTATTGTATCATTTCGGGCTCACTTTTATTGTAAATAAGAATATAATATGTTTCTAAACACTTCTACATTAATATGGATGGTACCATGATTATGGACAGTCCTGAATGAAATTTTGAATAATGATGAGTGAGAAAGTTACAGACGTACAAAAATCATGTAATTTCTAAACGGTACACCCAATATGGATGAAAATACCCTCACATTAAAGCTGATAGTCCGCAGTTTAACCTCATAGTAATTGTATCATTTAAAATCCAAAATACTGGTGTACAGAGCCAAAACAACAACAAAATTGTCACTGTCCCAATACTTTCGGAGCTAACTATAGTTTCATGTCCACACCCCGGCTCAACCCTAACCCTTAACCCTAACCCTAGCTTCATGTTCACACCCTGGCTCAAACCTAATCCTAGCCATAACCCTATTTCTAACGTTAATCCTAGTTTCATGTCCACATCCCGGTTCAACCCTAACCCTAACGCTAGTTTCTTGTCCACAACCCGGCTCAACCCTAACCATAACTCTAACCCTAACCCGTACTTCTCTTCTCGAGTCAACTCTTACCTGTAAGGGTGTACTCGGTCTCGCGGATGCCCTCCACTACCATCCATGGGTAGTCCTCTCGGGCGCGGGGCGGCCCCTCATGGTTGGTGTGGCGGTGTTCCAGGTCATAGTGGTCTATCTTGCTGTCGGGCTCAGGCAGAGCCCACTGTACCGTCACTGTGTTGTCACACACCTGGCACTCTGACACCAGAATCTCTGGGGTCGCAGGCACTGGGGAAGATAGAGAGATTGAGATTAGCCTTATTGTCCTACTCATTTGTCACTACTAGCCACAAGCAAAATACAAAATCATTGTACACGGACAAGGCAGCAGTATTTTATTTTTTTTAAATCACAATTCACATTAACTATAAAGTTCAGTTCTTAAAGAAAAACCAATAGAGACATGACAGTTCACAGACTGACCTGGGAGGAACTTGATGGCCTGCAGCATCTCCCTCTCTTGGGTGAAGTCCACCATCATGTGACTCATGGTGTCAGTGGCTTTGGCTTTCAGCGACAAACGGAAGGCTGGGGCCATTGTCACACTGCTCTCCCACAAACAAAAACACACAGTGAGACATCCCTCATTATTCAACCCACTGAAGGACTGACGGGACACATTAGTTAGTGAATGTTGTACTGTAGTACTACTGTAACTAATCACTACACAGAGCTATAATACCATACTAACTACTCTTCTACTGTACCACACAAAAACATTCATGAATCATGAACTGACATACACAAAACATACAAGCTAAACTGCCACTGCCAGAGAGGGGATAGACTGGAGCATGTGCCATGAGGGACTGACACATGTTTGAGACAGAGAGGGCAGGTGAGGTGAGAGAGAAAAGGCTGAGATGAAATGCCAGAGTGGTGAAGAAAGAGCGTGCTACAGCGTGATTGTATCTAATCTAGATTTTGTTGGAAAGCATGTGGGTGAGCAGATGGTTAGGGAGTTAAGAAGATACTCTGAGAAATGGGCAGCAATCTACTATACCTATCCTTAATGTCTTTGGCCGCCTGGAGAGAAGCAGAGAGGGAAAGCAAAAGGAAATGAAGGAGAGGGGAGAAACGGACAAACAGAGAACTGAGTTGCAGCCACATCCTTACAATAAAAACATTACATCTGTGTTAATAAGTACACACATCACAACGAACCACATCAGATCAACATACTATACTATACTGCTTTACAATAAAGGTAAATAAAGATAAGAAACAGGTAGTAACTGTGTTAAAACAACAGTCATGCCACTAAAACCATTATGAACCATTATGGATATCCTCAAGCTAAATACCAATGCCATCATGGCATCATTGCAGAAAATATGTAAATGAAAGTTAGGTTGTAGAAGATTTTGCCAGCCGTTACCTGAGTGAAGTCGTCTGCTTCCGAGGAGCAGAGAGTCTGATTGGCTACCTCCAAAAGCTCCTCTGAGCTCTCCAAGGCTTTGGAGCACGCACTCAGCTGACTCTGAGAGAGAGAGCATGATATATTTAATCACAGTCCAGACAATGTTTCCTTTCAATATAATGAAGGTATTCTATGCTGTACTGTGTCATTGAAGTTTCTTTCCATCAGAGGAAAAGTTCATAAGAAAAGTTATTTGAGTTGAATAGCCATGAATCACTTTCTTTTTCATTATTATTTTCAATTAACCTACTGGAAGCTGTACAATATATCCGTTTGGCTACCCACTCACATAATCAAGCACAGAGGGATGTAGTGTAGTGATGTCATTACAAAGCTGCCCCTGCCGTGGCTTTGTCTGACTGACTGACTGACTGACTGACTGACTGACTGACTGACACTCAGAGGCTAAGAGATAAAACAGGATTATACACAGACACAATAATCCTCTAGGAATACTAACGTTGTGAACCCCAACACACACAGCCTTTCATGGCAACATTTCTTTCATAGCAACACTGAATCAGTCTGCACAAAAAGTTCACCCGATTGTGAGCCTGAGAATGAGTCATGCTACACTGATCATGAGCTGATCTTATGATCGGATAGCCTGGGGAAGTCATCCAAATATTGTTCCAATGTTGAATGTTAATGACTGAAATCTTGGAAGCTCAAGAAAATGCAAAGCAAAGGCATGTAAAACCCTTATCCAGTAAATGGCCAATAAAGGTGAACTGACCTGTAGCTCATAGGTGCGGCTGGCCCTCTCCTGTTTGATCCTGGTGACCATACTGTCCTTCATATCGTCCAGTACTGAGTGGAGGGAGCTGAACTCTGTCTCCAGGTCCTCCTGGACACGGCTGGAGTTACCCTGCAGGGGTCAATAGGGAAGGAATCAGTTCACTGATAGATACCATGTACATCCAGCCAGTCCATCTGACTAGTATACCATGACATGCCAAATTCATAATACCATGTGTGTATTGTCTATATGTGTTGTGCACATATCCTACTGTCAGACTGTAATCTTAATGTTAGAACAGCCAGATGTTGTGTACAATACCTCCAGGTTCTCCAGGCTCTGTTTCAGACAGCAAATGAAGTTTGTAATCTCCTCATTCTTCAGGGCCAGGGTTGTGGTAATCTTATGAAGCGATTCCTTAACAACATACAAAAGGTTATTAAGCCTACAAATATATTATAGAGAACATTGTTACATATCACATTGGACATTGGACCAAGTTCTCAATATAATAATATAATATTTCCTTGAGATGCCTTGCTTCAAGATAACACATCAGTAGTGACTCCTAACAATACTAGCGTACATTTAAAGAAGTAAGGATGAATCATAAATGGTCAGTAGGCTACTTAGTCCCCTGAATCTCTTCCCAGTAATTTTCCCTTCTGTGTAAACTGTGACAAGGGCGAACATCTTGCTACATAACCATAAGGATACGCATCCATATAATATAATAATGCGTCTCCTCTCCAGTGGTTAGGTTTAACCCACCATCATACACTATGCACCCTATCTCTGCAGCAGCCAATCTGAATTCATTATGATACTGCATTAAAAAGATCCAGGCAAATTATGTGAGACATTTCCACAGTCCAGTCCCACGCCCGTCAGGTTCATAGAATCATACACTCCCAACCCAATAAGCATTTAATATGCTCCTTCATGCGAGAGGCTATGCGCCAGGCCCCAATCATAGGGATAACGGGACACTCTCTACACTTATTGCAACCTCGGTCTCAGCAAATCGATAAAAATTAAAAACAGACAGCTGTTAATGTGTCTTGGACTGGTATGCATTTACAAGTTAAATCAATAAAGACTATTCTGAGACCTAGCCAGGCGCAGTTTTTCTCGCGCACGAATTGGAGTCTTCTTGGCGAAATTTGATGCTCATGAGCATCGAATGGTTGAGGTACTGCAAACCTTGATGTCGACGCGCCTCCGCGAAATACGCATGGTGTTTTAAATCAATTAAAATATGTAACCATTCAAGGTTGTATTGAAGGACGGAATACAATCCAATGATAGAAAACAGCAACAAAGTTCCCGTCCTTCGCGCTACTCGCCTTTCTTTGTACGCCCTGAGACCGCAGCAAACACAAAACACCTGTTCCGCCACTTCCATCCTACCTTCTGATCACCCATCTTGCTAGACCAAGGAACCGGTACCGGTGTATCAGTAATTATAAAGGCTATTCTTCGCCGTCCCCTCTTTTTGGTTTATTTGCAGCACACACTACTGGGCTGGTACTGATGCTGCTGGAGTGCATTGCATCTTTCGTCCAACGCCTAGGGCCGTAGTGTGTATTGCGCAGATGCAGTAGAGGGGAACTCTGGGTATTGTAGCTTTTATGTGAAACACTGTTTCCAGTCTGTTTCTGGGTGTGTAGGCTATGCGTTTTCCTTTGAAAATGAAAAGCAACTACAGAGGAAATGCAAATTATGATTAATTTAAAGGCCTATTTCATATGCTAAATTGTATTCTTTAGTTTATCCTCAGGGTTTCCACCAAATAGAATGACATGACACGTGAGGTTTTTCATGTTTTAGTATACTGCCTGTCCTGTGTTGACTCCTGTCTTCTCCCTATCATAAAAAGTGACACATTTTAATGAAAATGAAAATAAACAATGTGTCATCAATGTTGTTTACTCATTATCACATTCTACAGTCGTGGTCAAAAGTTTGGAGAATGACACAAGTATTGGTCTTCACAAAGTTCGCTGCTTCAGTGTTATGAGATATTTTTGTCAGATGTTACTATGGTATACTAAAGTATAATTACAAGCATTCCATAAGTGTCAAAGGCTTTTATTGACAATTACATTAACTTTATGCAAAGAGTCAATATTTGCAGTGTTGACCCTTCTTTTTCAAGACTTCTGCAATCCGCCCTGGCATGCTGTCAATTAACTTACATTTACATTTTAGTCATTTAGCAGACGCTCTTATCCAGAGCGACTTACAGGAGCAATTAGGGTTAAGTGCCTTGCTTAAGGGCACATCGACAGATTTTTCACCTAGTCGGCTCGGGGATTAGAACCAGCGACCTTTCGGTTACTGGCACAACGCTCTTACCCACTAAGCTACCTGCCGCCCCAACTTCTGGGCCACATCCTGACTGATGGCAGCCCATTCTTGCATAATAAATGCTTGGAGTTTGTCAGAATTTCTGGGTTTTTGTTTGTCCACCCGCCTCTTGAGGATCGACCACAAGTTCTCAATGGGATTAAGGTCAGGGGAGTTTCCCTGGCCATGGACCCAAAATGTCGATGTTTTGTTCCCCGAGCCACTTAGTTATCATTTTTGCCTTATGGCAAGGTGCTCCATCATGCTGGAAAAGGCATTGGTCGTCACCAAACTGTTCTTGGGAGAAGTTGCTCTCGGAGGATGTGTTGGTACATTTACGTCATTTAGCAGACGCTCTGCATACATTTTCATACTGCCCCCCCCGTGGGAATCGAACGCACAACCCTGGCGTTGCAAGCGCCATGCTCTACCAACTGAGCTACACGGGACTATTTATTTATTTATTCATGGCTGTGTTCTTAGGCAAAATTGTGAGTGAGCCCACTCCCTTGGCTGAGAAGCAACCCCACACATTAATGGTCTCAGGATGCTTTACTGTTGGCATGACACAGGACTGATGGTAGCGCTCACCTTGTCTTCTCCGGACAAGGTGTTTTCCGGATGCCCCAAACAATCGGAAAGGGGATTCATCAGAGAAAATGACTTTACCCCAATCCTCAGCAGTCCAATCCCTGTACCTTTTGCAGAATATCAGTCTGTCCCTGGTGTTTTTCCTGGAGAGAAGTGGCTTCTTTGCTGCCCTTCTTGACACCAGGCCATCCTCCAAAAGTCTTCACCTCACTGTGCGTGCAGATGCACTCACACCTGCCTGCTGCCATTCCTGAGCAAGCTCTGCACTGGTGGTGCCCCTATCCCGCAGCTGAATCAACTTTAGGTGACGGTCCTGGCGCTTGCTGGACTTTCTTGGGCGCCCTGACGCCTACTTCACAACAATTGAACCTCTCTCCTTCAAGTTCTTGATGATCCGATAAATGGTTGATTTAGGTGCAATCTTACTAGCAGCAATATCCTTGCCTGTGAAGCCCTTTTTGTGCAAAGCAATGATGACGGCACGTGTTTCCTTGCAGGTAACCATGGTTAACAGAGGAAGAACAATGATTTCAAGAACCAACCTCCTTTTAAAGCTTCCATTCTGTTATTCTAACTCAATCAGCATGACAGAGTGATCTCCAGCCTTGTCCTCGTCAACACTCTCACCTGTGTTAACGAGAGAATCACTGACATGATGGCAGCTGGTCCTTTTGTGGCAGGGCTGAAATGCAGTGGAAATGTTTTTTTGGAATTAAGTTCATTTTCATGGCAAAGAGGGACTTTGCAATTAATGGCAATTCATCTGATCACTCTTCATGACATTCTGGAGTATATGCAAATTGCCATCATCAAAACTGAGGCAGCAGACTTTGTGAAAATTAGTATTTGTGTCATTCTCCAAACTTTTGACCACGACTGTACATATTCTGTGTGGGTTCATCTTCTTACTTAATTTTTCATGACACTTCAAGCTGATAAACCCTATGTAAATCATAAACTTTGCATGGCTATTTGATCTTAGTATTGTTTTGGGATGGGAAGTCACATGGATATTCTAACGTTGATTGTAGTGGCGAAGTGAGTTGACACGTATGGACCAAAACCCACAAACTCTCGGAAGCACGTACAGTTTCTCTGACCACACAGACTTAGTCATAGATCGCATATGCCCCTTAAATTGCACAGTGCACACTTACAGTACCAACGTTTGAGGACACCTGTGACTGCAGGACAACTATGTGTGTAGAGCTTAGTAACTCAGCAATAGTTGTTTTTAATGTAGTCTACCAGTCTTTGTAGTTATATGTGCATCCCCCACCACCCCTCACCCCATGACTGCTTTCAGTATACCGAAATTTTAAGCACTTCCTTCCACCCACACATAGAGAGTCCTTCCTCATCTCACTCAGGAAGGTACTGTAGCTATGACATGTAGGGACACACTGAGAAGCCCACCATTGAGCCATAAAATGGACATCTGGAGAAAAGGGACCCTCTTGCTGTTTCTTATAGGTGGGATTACTATTCCTTGCTCTTCAACTCTTCAATACATGGTTTAAATTTGACAATATATGGTCATACAAACATTTGCATTTGCTTTTTGCAATTATATTCATAGCTCCTTGATTTTCCTCTGCTCTTTCCCTGATCTGTACTCACACAACCTCTTCTTTGCTTCTAAATAATCCAACAACTAAACTCTCAATTGTGTGCATTCTCTTGCGACAGGAATGTTGGTGAAGCCTGGTCTGAGCACTATGATCCTGGATCAGCCACCAAGGACTGTGGAAGTTCATCTTGGTTCCTCTCTTACCCTGAACTGCAGTTTTAAGCCCCAAACTCGTGTCAAGGTGAACTGGTATTTCAGCCGAACTGGCCACTCAAGCTGCAGCTCTGATATAAAACTGAACATCAGTACCCATTCGGCTGACAAAACTGTGAAGCCTGATGCTGGGGGTCATGTATCTAAAGAACCTGGAAAGAGTTGGTCCAGATTAATTCTTAAAGATGTTACACACAATAACAGTGGATGGTACTTTTGCCGTGTCACAGTAGAGATTCCCGCCCTTCAACAAGCATGTAGCAATGGAACTCAAGTTAATATAAGTAAGTACAAAAGGGAATCCTTTTTTTATCTAATTCATCAGAGTCTCTGTGAAATGTTTAGAAATGTTATGATGATGAGTCTTACAACAGTAGCATCAGTGGCAGCACTACTATTGTTACTGAATGGTATACTGTAAATATTCTAAAAACCTCATTATGGTCTTTCTATTGCAGCGGACAGCCAGGTAGAAAGTACCACTTATACTACATTGATGACAGGTAAATCCTCCAACAAACCATAGGCGTTTTCACTGTGTGAATATATGTGTGTGTGTGTGTGTGTGTGTGTGTGTGTGTGTGTGTGTGTGTGTGTGTGTGTGTGTGTGTGTGTGTGTGTGTGTGTGTGTGTGTGTGTGTGTGTGTGTGTGTGTGTGTGTGTGTGTGTGTGTGTGTATGTGTGTATGTGTATGTATGTATGTATGTATGTATGTGTGTGGTAGTGAGTGATGCGTTGGTTGACTCATAACCTGCAGTCCCCACGAGTGGATTTAGGGTCATGAAATATTGGGCGGGTTGAATAAAGAGAAAACAATACCTTACAAAATCCATAAATGTATAATTCTTGTCCAATTTATATCTATAGGTTATCTCCTGAGTGGCGCAGTGGTCTAAGGCACTGCATCGCAGTGCTAACTGTGCCACTAGAGATCCTGGTTCGAATCCAGGCTCTGTCGCAGCCGGCCGCGACCGGGAGACTCATGGGGCGGCGCACAATTGGCCCAGCGTCGTCCAGGGTAGGGGAGGGAATGGCCGGCAGGGATGTAGCTCAGTTGATAGAGCATGGCGTTTGCAACGCCAGGGTTATGGGTTCGATTCCCACGGGGGGCCAGTATAAAAAAAAATATATGTATTCACTAACTGTAAGTCGCTCTGGATAAGAGCGTCTGCTAAATGACGTAAATGTAAATGTAATACATTGAGGCTTTTCTTTCATTATCTTAGGCTATCTGGCATTAGTGCATAAGCCTAAGCTTTAAGGCCTAACTGTATGGGCGCCAAATAGCCTACATGCCAATTGCCAAATGCATGAGTTTAATGTCGGAGTTTAATTCAATAAGAGAAAAGCTGCGAAATGGAGAATTTAAAGTAAAGAGAAGGGAGGGACAGAAAATAAATGTTTGGGAAAGATTTGGTGAAGTGGTAAAAGAGGATAATAGCATGTTATGTGATGATTGTGTGATGGTTGTGAGGAGCTATACAAATTCGATAGTCACAAGACTGTCTGTTTTTTTGTTTTTTTGTTATTGCATTTTCTCCCTGGTCCCTAACCATCTTTGTTCCTTGAAAGAAGCAGAGATCACAGAGAACTTTACTGATGTCAACTAGATCAACCTGGTCTCATAGACTAGACATAACATAATAAACGTATATCCGGGACACTCAAATTAGTAGGAAATGTTACGTTTGGTATGGTTACATAAGACATATGGTTACTTAAGGCAAAAACGAAAGTTGGGTGGGGAAGGGTTAGCTAAAAGGGTTAAGGTTAGGGTTAGGGGAAGGGTTAGCTAACATGCTAAGTAGTTGTAAAGTAGAAAAAAAGTAGTAAGTAGTTGAAAAGTTGCTAATTAGCTAAAATGCTAAAGATGTCCGTGATGAGATTCAAACTCGGAACCTTTGAGTTGCTAGACGTTTGCGTTATACAAAAGGTTGTGAGTGCGAATCTTATCACGGAAAACTTTAGCATTTTACCTAATTATCAACTTTTCAACTACTTTCTACTTTTTTGCTACTTTGCAACTACTTAGTATGTTAGCTAACACTTCCCCTAACCCTAACCGTTTTAGCTCAACCTTCCCCTAACCCTAACATTAACTATTTAAGCTAACCCTTCCCCTAACCCTAACCATAACCATAACCATAACCAATGAACCTAACTACTAAACTTAACCCTAACCTTAACCCTAACCCCTAGACTTGCTAACGTTAGCCAGCTAGCTAACGTTAGCCACCTAGCTAGAATTTGTAACATATAATATGTTTTGCAAATCGTAACATATACTACGTTTTGCAAATTCCTAACATATTGTACATTTTGCAAATTCCTAACATATAATATGAATTGTAATTCGTAATATATCATATGAAATGGGTAATGGACATCCCCAAATTAATACATACCATAAGAAACGTAACATATCCTACTAAATGGAGTGTCTCGGATTTACATACAAAATAATATTAAATGTTCTGAGACCAGATTGACTAGATTGAAGCACTCATTCTATCTATTTATTACATTATTCTGGTGAGCAAGGGTTTATTTTAGTCTTCTAGGGCAGCATATAATGACAGAAGAGAAGCTGTATGTATCTAATTATACAGTGCATTCGGAAAGTATTCAGACCCATTGACTTTTTCCACATTTTGTTACGTTTGTTCTAAAATTGATAAAATAGTTTTCCCCTCATCAATCTACACACAGTACCACATAATGACAAAGCAAAAACAGGTTTTTAGAAATGTTAGCAAATTTTGTTTTTTTTTAAACAAGGAAATATCACATTTACATAAGTATTCAGACCTTTTACTCAATACTTTGTTGAAGCACCTTTGGCAGAGAGTACAGCCTCAAGTCTTATTGGGTATGACGCTACAAGGTTGGTTCACCTGTATTTGGGGAGTTTCTCCCATTCTTCTCTGCAGATCCTCTCAAGCTCTGTCAGGTTGGATGGGGTGCGTAGCTGCATACAGTGGCTTGCATTTTTTCAATTTTGTTGCCTTACAACCTGGAATTAAAATGGCTTTTTTGGGGGTTTGTATCATTTGATTTACACAACATGCTTACCACTTTGAAGATGCAAAATCATATTTTTTTTGTGAAACAAACAAGAAATAAGACAAAAAAACTGAAAACTTGAGCGTGCATAACTATTCACCCCCCCAAAGTCAATACTTTGTAGAGCCACCTTTTGCAGCAATTACAGCTGCAAGTCTCTTAGGGTATGTCTCTATAAGCTTGGCACATCTAGCCACTGGGATTTTTGTCCATTCTTCAAGGCAAAACTGCTCCGGCTCCTTCAAGTTGGATGGGTTCCGCTGGTGTACAGCAATTTTTAAGTCATACCACAGATTCTCAATTGGATTGAGGTCTGGGCTTTGACTAGGCCATTCCCAGACAGTTAAATGTTTCCCCTTAAACCACTCGAGTGTTGCTTTAGCAGTATGCTTAGGGTAATTGTCCTGCTGGAAGGTGAACCTCCCTCCCAGTCTCAAATCTCTGGATGACTGAAACACGTTTCCCTCAAGAATTTCCCTGTATTTAGCGCCATCCATCATTCCTTCAATTCTGAACAGTTTCCCAGTCCCTGCCGATGAACAACATCCCCACAGCATGATGCTGCCACCACCATGCTTCACTGTGGAGATGGTGTTCTCGGGGTGATGAGAGGTGTTGGGTTTGCGCCAGACATAGCGTTTTCCTTGATGGACAAAAAGCTCAATTTTAGTCTCATCTGACCAGAGTACCTTCTTCCATATGTTTGGGGAGTCTTCCATATGCCTTTTGGCAAACACCAAACTTATTTATTTCTTTAAGCAATGGCTTTTTTTCTGGCCACTCTTCCGTAAAGCCCAGCTCTGTGGAGTGTACGACTTAAAGTGGTCCTATGGACAGATATTCAAATCTCTGCTGTGGAGCTTTGCAGCTCCTTCAGGGTTATCTTTGGTGTCTTTGTTGCCTCTCTGATTAATGCCGTCTTTGCCTGGTCCGTGAGTTTTGGTGGGCGGCCTCTTGGCAGGTTTATTATGGTGCCATATTCTTTCCATTTTTTTATAATGGATTTAATGGTGCTCCGTGGGAAGTTTCTGAAATTTTTTTATAACCCAACCCTGATCTGTACTTCTCCACAACTTTGTCCCTGACCTGTTTGGAGAGCTCCTTGGTCTTCAGTGGTGTTGCAGACTCTGGGGCCTGGGGTGTATATATACTGAGATCATGTGACAGATTTACATTTACATTTACATCATTTAGCAGATGCTCTTATCCAGAGCGACTTACAAATTGGTCATGTGACACTTAGATTGCACAAAGGTGGACTTTATTTAACTAATTATGTGACCTGCGCACCACTAGTGTTGAATGAAGATGTCGAATGAAATAACTGCTGTTTACCCTCCTCTCCCTCCAACCAGTAACTCTGTCTCACCCTTCTAATGGGGGTCTGCTTGTAGACTGGAGGCTGTGGGTAGCAGTGGGAGCAGCGAGTGCCATACTTGTCACACTTCTAGTGGTCATCTGGATCTTACTACAACGAAGGGGATGCAAGAGCAGAGGTACAAGACGGTTTTTGTTCCAAAAATGTATTTACCTGGTATACATACAGTGGGGGAAAAAAGTATTTAGTCAGCCACCAATTGTGCAAGTTCTCCCACTTAAAAAGATGAGAGGCCTGCAATTTTCATCATAGGTACACGTCAACTATGACAGACAAAATGAGAAAAAAAAATCCAGTAAATCACATTGTAGGATTTTTAATGAATTTATTTGCAAATTATGGTGGAAAATAAGTATTTGGTCAATAACAAAAGTTTCTCAATACTTTGTTATATACCCTTTGTTGGCAATGACACAGGTCAAACGTTTTCTGTAAGTCTTCACAAGGTTTTCACACACTGTTGCTGGTATATTGGCCCATTCCTCGATGCAGATCTCCTCTAGAGCAGTGATGTTTTGGGGCTGTCGCTGGGCAACACGGACTTTCAACACCCTCCAAAGATTTTCTATGGGGTTGAGATCTGGAGACTGGCTAGGCCACTCCAGGACCTTGAAATGCTTCTTACGAAGCCACCCCTTCGTTGCCCGGGCGGTGTGTTTGGGATCATTGTCATGCTGAAAGACCCAGCCACGTTTCATCTTCAATGCCCTTGCTGATGGAAGGAGGTTTTCACTCAAAATCTCACGATACATGGCCCCATTCATTCTTTCCTTTACACGGATCAGTCGTCCTGGTCCCTTTGCAGAAAAACAGCCCCAAAGCATGATGTTTCCACCCCCATGCTTCACAGTAGGTATGGTGTTCTTTGGATGCAACTCAGCATTCTTTGTCCTCCAAACACGACGAGTTGAGTTTTTACCAAAATGTTATATTTTGGTTTCATCTGACCATATGACATTCTCCCAATCCTCTTCTGGATCATCCAAATGCACTCTAGCAAACTTCAGACGGGCCTGGACATGTACTGGCTTAAGCAGGGGGACACGTCTGGCACTGCAGGATTTGAGTCCCTGGCGGCGTAGTGTGTTACTGATGGTAGGCTTTGTTACTTTGGTCCCAGCTCTCTGCAGGTCATTCACTAGGTCCCCCCGTGTGGTTCTGGGATTTTTGCTCACCGTTCTTGTGATCATTTTGACCCCACGGGGTGAGATCTTGCGTGGAGCCCCAGATTGAGGGAGATTATCAGTGGTCTTGTATGTCTTCCATTTCCTAATAATTGCTCCCACAGTTGATTTCTTCAAACCAAGCTGCTTACCTATTGCAGATTCAGTCTTCCCAGCCTGGTGCAGGTCTACAATTTTGTTTCTGGTGTCCTTTGACAGCTCTTTGGTCTTGGCCATAGTGGAGTTTGGAGTGTGACTGTTTGAGGTTGTGGACAGGTGTCTTTTATACTGATAACAAGTTCAAACAGGTGCCATTAATACAGGTAACGAGTGGAGGACAGAGGAGCCTCTTAAAGAAGAAGTTACAGGTCTGTGAGAGCCAGAAATCTTGCTTGTTTGTAGGTGACCAAATACTTATTTTCCACCATAATTTGCAAATAAATTCATAAAAAATCCTACAATGTGATTTTCTGGATTTGTTTTTCTCATTTTGTCTGTCATAGTTGACGTGTACCTATGATGAAAATTACAGGCCTCTCTCATCTTTTTAAGTGGGAGAACTTGCACAATTGGTGGCTGACTAAATACTTTTTTCCCCCACTGTACTTTGAACTTAATCTCAAACCAGATCGTGTGACCTGAAGCAGAGAGGAGTAGTTTGTAGAGGGGGAGGATGATCAGAGCATATGCAACACATGAAAGAAAAGGAAAGAAAGCTCTATAATATACACTACCAGTCAAAAGTTTTAGAACACATACTCACTCAAGGGTTTTTCTTTATTTTTTACAATTTTCTACATTGTAGAATAATAGTGAAGACATCAACATTATGAAATAACACATGGAATCATGTAGTAACCAAAAAAGTGTTAACAAATCAAAATATATTTTATATTTGAGATTCTTCAAATAGCCACCCTTTGCCTTGATGACAGCTTTGCACACTCTTGGCATTCTTTCAACCAACTTCACCTGGAATGCTTTTCCAACAGTCTTGAAAGAGTTCCGACATACGCTGAGCACTTTTTGGCTGTTTTTCCTTCACTCTGCGGTCCGACTCATCCCAAACCATCTCAATTTGGTTGAGTTCGGGGGATTGTGGAGGCCAGGTCATCTGATGCAGCACTCCATCACTCTCCTCCTTGGTAAAATAGCCCTTACACAGCCTGGAGTTGTGTTGGGTCATTGTCCTGTTGAAAAACAAATGATAATCCCACTAAGCCCAAACCAGATGGGATGGGATATTTTCCGTATTGACTGGCCTTCATGTCTTAAAGTAATGATGGACTGTCGTTTCTCTTTGCTTATTTGAGCTGTTCTTGCCATAATATGGACTTGGTCTTTTACCAAATAGGGCTATCTTCTGTATACCACCCCTACCTTGTCACAACACAACTGATTGGCTCAAACACATTAAGAAGGAAAGAAATTCCACAAATTAACTTTTAAGAAGGCACACCTGTTAATTGAAATGCATTCCAAATGCATTCCAAGAGAGTGCAAAGCTGTCATCAAGGCAAAGGGTGGCTATTTGAAGAATCTCAAATATAAAATATATTTTGATTGGTTAACACTTTTTTGGTTACTACATGATTCCATGTGTTATTTCATAGTGTTGATGTCTTCACTATTATTCTACAATGTAGAAAATAGTAAAAATAAAGAAAAACCCTTGAATGAGTAGGTGTTCTAAAACGTTTGACAGGTAGTGTATATAAGTATCATAGCACACACAGGGACAGAGAGACAGAGAGACAGAGAGACAGAGAGATAAAAAAATGAAAAAACAGCAAGCCCGGTGCACTCATTTACAGAGCAGCTAATTTGCACAAAGTGAGGTCTTTCCTTAGTCATTCTGAATGAGAGAGCAGGTGGTATGTGGTTAAAAGCTCTGAGACAGAGCAGGGGAGGATAGGTGAACGTCTCACTGCCTGTGGTTACTGGTTCATTCTTTGCAGCTTCTCAGCTGTGTCTTGTCCTTTCTGCCCAATCTACACATTTCTTGACAGTGCAGGCTGCTGAGCAAAGACAGTCAATCAGATGTGAATATTTGTTGGTGTGACAATTACTTTGGAGTATTTTTTTTTCTTGTTTATTTCCAGAGAATGCTATCTATATGAATATGCATCTACCAAGATCTGCAATAAAACAGCCCTCTCCGCGTCCAGGAATACAGATGGACAACCAGAAGATTCCTCCTCCTTTAAAACACACCAGGACCCCAGCCACAGCCCATGACAGCAAACATCTCAGGACCCCAACTCCAGCCAGGGCAAATGACAACAAACACCTCTTCAGGACCCCAAACCCACCCAGGGCCCATGACGGCAAACACCTCACAATCCCAACTCCAGCCACAGCCCATGACAATAAACACTTCAGGACCCCAACTCCAGCCAGGGCCCATGAAAGCAAATACAGCCCAAAACCCTAATACTTTTTATGTTCCCAATTAATCATATTTCCTCTACTGAAATTATCTCAGCAAGTAATTTTTTATCTCTTGTGTTGTGAGTGTAGTTTGACTCTGTCCTAACCTCTATTAAAATTTTTTGTTGTGTAAATATTATTCTCAGGGTAATTTAAAGTTACCCGAGTTCTGTAAAGCTTAATTTAGCAATAAGGAAAATAAGTGCTATTTTCTGGAATGTACAGTCTTTTGTATCGGTAGCCTTTGAAAAAAAGAAATGTCTATAGCGGTTAATAGTGCATTAATTAAAGTCCATATTTCAATATTTTCTTGCAATGCTAGTGTCAAAATTGTGAACAAATATTATGTGACTGCCAATTGTGCTATACATGTATACAAGGACAATAACATACATCAAGTTCGTTTTAGACAAAGTCTTTAAAATTATAGCCTACCAGAAAACCACGTCAAATGGTATCATCCTAAAAACGGAGAAAATATATCAGTCTAATGTAACAGTCAATCAACGTCAATCATTCGAAAATAGAAAAACATGGTCACGTGATGCATGTCCCCAACCAGGTACTTGTGGTGCTTTCAAGACAACTGGGAACTCAGGAACAAACGAGGTCAAATCATGACGTCAGTGACCTTCAGGTCGGAAGTCGGAGTTCGATAAAGATGCCCGAGTTTCCAACTTGGAATTCCGTGTTGGATGACCATTGAAAACGTTTTTACCAGTCGGAGCTCGTTTTTTTCCGAGTTCCCAGTTGTCTTGAATACACTGATGTCGGAAGTGGAGATTTACGAGTACCCAGTTGTTTTGAACGCGGCATTGGTAGAGACCGCTTCCATGGGATTATCGCGTTAACGCGCACACTAGCCAGCAAACGTTACAGGTGGAGCCGAAAGATAATATCGATGTGAAATGGAAGATACTTTGGATCAATTTCTAACGATGTAGACTGAGAATAAATAGTGCTATTACCGGTAAGTCGTGTCGGTCTATTGGTATTTGAACTTGCGCGAGCAGCATTTGTTGGGTTGTTCTTCATGGGTGAGATACATTTGTAACAAGTGAAATGATTCTCAACTAGCAAGCTAACTAGCCAGCCACCTTGGTAGCAGGTAAAGTGGTGTAACAAGATTATTATCCACGGCGTGCACTCCTTTTAGTGGACACGTTTGACTAGTTTTAAGGTGTAGTGATTTTCACCTGTCCTATTCAGTAATAAAAGTAACTCATCAATATTAGCCCGATTAAATTAAAGGGTTATAGCACGTACGTTTTATAACTCACCTTTTCCCATCTGTCATTCCTTTCATTTCTTTATCAGAATCAGAAATGTATTATTTTACATCGTTTTTATGAGTCATAATAACACACCTCATGGACTATAGACATAGTCCAGGTGTGAGGTTGAATCAGCAGGTAAATCACAGTCAAGTCAGAAACATTGACTAACTGAGAATTATGCAAACGTCTGTTATTAATTATGAGAAGTGCTTTCAATCATGTATTAGATGGAACCTCTTTTTGACTAGCTGTCCACTGTTTTTTAAAATCTATTCTCCCAAAGATGTCATCAACACAGAATGACTTTAAATATCTGAACAATAGGTAATATTTTCAATTTATTCAAAGATTGTTTATATTGTAATAGGGAAATGGGTTTATGTCAATGAACATGTAATTAACCCAGAACCAAACGTCTTGCGTAATTGGTCAAATGTTTATGTAATCTGTGGTCCTCTGTAGCTCAATTGGTAGAGCATGGCGCTTGTAACGCCAGGGTAGTGGGTTCGATCCCCGGGACCACCCATATGTAAAAATGTATGCACACATGACTGTAAGTCGCTTTGGATAAAAGCGTCTGCTAAATGGCATATCATTTTTATTATTCATGAGAGATGAATGAACATGTTGTCATTGTTGTGTATTATCGACACACATAGCTGGTAACACGATGTCAAATCCCAGTGCAATTGGTACGCTGCATGACAGCTCAGAGGCAGGAAACATTGGTGTAAATTCTCTAAATCAATAAGGATTGATTTTACCAGTGGAAACACATTGGACATGACCAGCCTGGTATGCCGATATTCCCAGTGGCAAAGTGGGACCTGCTCAATTAAATAGTCAATATGTCAGTTGGCAGAAGTTGGGTATTCCCATAAAACTGTAAGGAGGAGCCTCTGTGAGCAGCGTGAGATTTGAAGGAGTTCAAATTTTCCTTTGTCTCCCAGCTCCTGCTGAGACTTGCCCATGATGTGTTTGTGTAGGCAGCCTAGCCATGCATGTTTCACTGATTGTGCTCAATTTGTTAGAACAGGGCCTAGTAAATAAAATAAAAGGTTATTGTCTGTTTATACTCAAGTCATTGTATAAAACATTGTTTCATAAATTGTTATAGCCTACAGTGCTGTGAAAAAGGATTTGCCCCCTTTCTAATTTTCTCTACTTTTGCATATTTGTGATACTGAATGTTATCAGATCTTCAACCAAAACCTAATATTAGATAAAGGGAACATAAGTGAACAAATAACACAACAATTACATATTTATTTCATAAACAAAGTTATGCAACACCCAATTCCCCTGTGTGAAAAAGTAATTGCCCCCTTACACTCAATAACTGGTTGTGCCATCTTTAGCTGCAATGACTCCAACCAAATGCTTCCTGTAGTTGTTGATCAGTCTTTCACATCGCTGTGGAGGAATTTTGGCCCACTCTTCCATGCAGAACTAGAAAGGGGGCAAATACTTTTTCACAGCACTGTATATGAAGTCCCCAGTGGCTTCACTATACATAACCCTGGTCACTCATAACCCCATTCACGGCAAAAACGTTTAGCAATTCGTTTTATTATTCCAGCTAATTAACTTTCTCAACCTAATAACACATCTGGTGGCCTATTGTCATCTTGATAAAATTATTTATTTTAGTTATCTGAGCTAGCGAAAACATAATCTCGTCCTGAACTGGGTGTGTTTTCTCCACACAATGGTGTTTCACAACAGTGGCTATGACACAAGGACTGTCAGAGGTGAACTCCCAGTTTCCTGTTCAAACCCAGCCCCATGGAACACACTGTCACTGCCATTCACAGCTCTGGTAAATCAGTTACAGTTACAAACTCAATTCTGGGCAGCAGTAGCCTACAGATTAGGAGAGGGCATTTTTGCTCAAGTCAAATGTAGAAGCACTACTAAGGCCTATTTTCAGACCATTTGCACCAAATCAATCTCCAGATGATGATATTGGAGTGTCAGTGCAAGTTTGGGTTTTAGTGTTCTGGGTGCTGCCATATCAGGTCCGCCACAAAGTACACATGTGGATGCCCTTTGCCTTCTCTAGTGGAGCGCTACATATTTAACTATGCCAGAGGTGGTTGAACTTAATATCCACGACTAAAAATATATTTATGACAGTAAAGCCTTTATTCAAAATGAATTTAAAAAATATACAGTGGGGAAAAAAAGTATTTAGTCAGCCACCAATTGTGCAAGTTCTCCCACTTAAAAAGATGAGAGAGGCCTGTAATTTTCATCATAGGTACACGTCAACTATGACAGACAAATTGATGAAAAAAAATCCAGAAAATCACATTGTAGGATTTTTAATGAATTTATATGCAAATTATGGTGGAAAATAAGTATTTGGTCACCTACAAACAAGCAAGATTTCTGGCTCTCACAGACCTGTAACTTCTTCTTTAAGAGGCTCCTCTGTCCTCCACTCGTTACCTGTATTAATGGCACCTGTTTGAACTTGTTATCAGTATAAAAGACACCTGTCCACAACCTCAAACAGTCACACTCCAAACTCCACTATGGCCAAGACCAAAGAGCTGTCAAAGGACACCAGAAACAAAATTGTAGACCTGCACCAGGCTGGGAAGACTGAATCTGCAATAGATAAGCAGCTTGGTTTGAAGAAATCAACTGTGGGAGCAATTATTAGGAAATGGAAGACATACAAGACCACTGATAATCTCCCTCGATCTGGGGCTCCACGCAAGATCTCACCCCGTGGGGTCAAAATGATTACAAGAACGGTGAGCAAAAATCCCAGAACCACACGGGGGGACCTAGTGAATGACCTGCAGAGAGCTGGGACCAAAGTAACAAAGCCTACCATCAGTAACACACTACGCCGCCAGGGACTCAAATCCTGCAGTGGCAGACGTGTCCCCCTGCTTAAGCCAGTACATGTCCAGGCCCGTCTGAAGTTTGCTAGAGTGCATTTGGATGATCAAGAAGAGGATTGGGAGAATGTCATATGGTCAGATGAAACCAAAATAGAACTTTTTGGTAAAAACTCAACTCGTCGTGTTTGGAGGACAAAAAATGCTGAGTTGCATCCAAAGAACACCATACCTACTGTGAAGCATGGGGGTGGAAACATCATGCTTTGGGGCTGTTTTTCTGCAAAGGGACCAGGACGACTGATCCGTGTAAAGGAAAGAATGAATGGGGCCATGTATCGTGAGATTTTGAGTGAAAACCTCCTTCCATCAGCAAGGGCATTGAAGATGAAACGTGGCTGGGTCTTTCAGCATGACAATGATCCCAAACACACTGCCCGGGCAACGAAGGAGTGGCTTCGTAAGAAGCATTTCAAGGTCCTGGAGTGGCCTAGCCAGTCTCCAGATCTCAACCCCATAGAAAATATTTGGAGGGAGTTGAAAGTCTGTGTTGCCCAGCGACAGCCGCAAAACATCACTGCTCTAGAGGAGATCTGCATGGAGGAATGGGCCAAAATACCAGCAACAGTGTGTGAAAACCTTGTGAAGACTTTTGACCTGTGTCATTGCCAACAAATGGTATATAACAAAGTATTGAGAAACTTTTGTTATTGACCAAATACTTATTTTCCACCATAATTTGCAAATAAATTCATTAAAAATCCTACAATGTGATTTTCTGGATTTTTTTTCTCATTTTGTCTGTCATAGTTGACGTGTACCTATGATGAAAATTACAGGCTTCTTTCATCTTTTTAAGTGGGAGAACTTGTACAATTGGTGGCTGACTAAATACTTTTTTCCCCCACTGTATTCTACGCACAATACCCCATAATGACAGTGTTTTTAGAAAATCTTGCTAATTTATTGAAAATTGCCATCAAATTGGATGCACCTGAGCTCATGTGCAAATTGAGCTCAGGGGCATCCAATTTCTTTTCATCATCCTCTTGATTGGAGTCCACCTGTGGCCAATTCAATTGGACATGATTTGGACATAATTTAGAAAGAAACACACCTGTCTATATAAATTCCCACAGTTGACAGTGCATGTCAGAGCAGAAACTATTATACCATGTCCAAGGAACTGTCAGTAGAGCTCCGAGATAGAATTTTGATGACACATATATCTGGGGAAGGGTATAAAATAGTTTCAACACTCTAGAAATTATCTCCATCATTGGTAAATGGAAAAAATATGGAACTACCCAGACTCTGCCTAGATCTGGCCGTCCGACCAAACTGAGCAAACAGGCAAGAGGGACCTTGGTCAGGGAGGTGACCAAGAAACCAATGACCACTCTGATAGAACTCCAGAGTTCCTTGGCTGAGATGGGAGAACCTGCCAGAAGGACAACAGTCTCTACAGCACTTCACCAATCTGAGCTTTATGGGAGAGTGGCCAGACTGAAGCCACTCCTGAGAAAAAGGTACATGACAGCACGCCTGAAGTTTGCAAAAAGGCACGTGAAAGACTGAGCGCATAAGGCAAAAGATTCTGTGGTCGGATGAGACAACAATTTTACTCTTAGGCCTGAATGCAAAGTGCTATGTCTGGAGAAAACCAGGCACAGCTCATCACCCGTCTAACACCATCCCTACCATGAAGCATGGTGGTGGCAGCATCATGCTTTGGGGATGCTTTTCAGCAGCAGGGACTGGGAGACTGGTAAGGATAGAGGGAACAATGAATGGAGCCAAATACAGGCAAATCCTTGATGAGAAACTGCTTCAAAGTGCAAACGACCTTAGACTGGGGGCGAAGATTTACGTTCCAACAGCACAATGACCCCAAGCATACAGCCAAAGCAATGCTGGAATGGCTTCAGAACAAGAATGTGAAAGTCCTTGAGTGGCCCAGCCAAAGCCCAGTCTTGAATCCCATTGAAAATCTGTGGAAGACTTGAAGATTGCTGTTCACCGCCACTCCCAATCTAATTTAACTGAGCTTGAGGAAATCTGCAAGGAATAATGGGAGAAAATCCCCAAATCCAGATGTGCAAAGCAGATACAGACACACCCAAGACAACTCAAAGCTGTAATCGCCACCAAAGGTGCTTCTACAAAGTATTGACTCAGGGGTGTGAATACTTATGCAAATTAGATATTTCTGTATTTCATTTTCACAACATTTGCAAAAATGTTTTCACTGTCATTATGGGGTATTGTGCGTAGATGGATGAGAAACTCTTTAATCCATTTTGAATTCAGGCTGTAACACAACAACATTTGGAATAAGTTAAGGGCTATGAATACTTTCTGAAGGCCCTGTATATACACTGAGTGTACAAAACATTAGGAACAGCTGCTCTTTCCATGACAGACTGACCAGGTGAAAGCTATGATCCCTTATTGATGTCACCTGTTAAATCCACTTCAATCAGTTTAGATGAAGCGGAGGAAACAGGTTAAAGAAGGATTTTTTAGCCTTGAGACAATGGATACATTGATTGTGTATGTGAGCCATTCAGAGGGTGAATCGGCAAGACAAGATTTAAGTGCCTTTGAAAGGGGTATGGTAGTAGGTGCCAGGCGCACCGGTTTAAGTGTGTCAAGAACTGCAACGCTGCTGGGTCTTTCACGCTCATTAGTTTCCCGTGTGTATCATGAATGTTCCACCACCCAAAGGACATCCAGCCAACTTGACACAACTGGGGGAAGCATTGGAGACACAACTGTGGGAAGCATTGGAGTCAACATGGGCCAGCATCCCTGTGGAACGCTTTCGACACTTTGTAGACTCCATGCCCCAACGAATTGAGGCTGTTCTGAGGGCAAAAGGGGGTTCAACTCAATATGAGGAAGGTGTTCTTAATGTTTTGTACACTCAGTTTATACCCAATGCAGCATTTAGCCTAATTTACACATTTACCCTACTCTCAACATCTGCTATGTACAGTTGAAGTCGGAAGTTTACATACACTTAGGTTGGAGTCATTAAAACTCGTTTTTCAACCACTCCACACATTTCTTGTTAACAAACTATAGTTTTGGCAAGTCGGTTAGGACATCTACTTTGTGCATGACACAATACATTTTTCCAACAATTGTTTACAGACAGATTATTTCACTTATAATTAACTGTATCACAATTCCAGTGGGTCAGAAGTGTACATACTCTAAGTTGACTGTGCCTTTAAACAGCTTGGAAAATTCCAGAAAATGATGTAATGGCTTTAGAAGCTTCTGATAGGCTAATTGGCATCATTTGAGTCAATTGGAGGTGTACCTGTGGATGTATTTCAAGGCCTACCTTCAAACTCAGTGCCTCTTTGCTTGACATCATGGGGAAATCAAAAGAAATCAGCCAAGACCTCAGAAAATAAATTGTAGACCTCCACAAGTCTGGGTCATCCTTGGGAACAATTTCCAAAGGCCTGAAGGTACCACGTTCATCTGTACAAACAATAGTACACAAGTATAAACACCATGGGACCACGCAGCCGTCATACCGCTCAGGAAGGAGACGCGTTCTGTCTCCTAGAGATTAACGTACTTTGGTGCGAAAAGTGCAAATCAATCCCAGAACAACAGCAAAGGACCTTGTGAAGATGCTGGAGGAAACAGGTACAAAAGTATCTATATCCACAGTAAAACGAGTCCTATATTTACATTTTAGTCATTTAGCAGACGCTCTTATCCAGAGCGACTTACAGTTAGTGAATGCATACATGTTTTTTTATTTTTTTCATCGACATAACCTGAAAGGCCGCTCAGCAAGGAAGAAGCCACTGCTCCAAAACCGCCATCAAAAAGCCAGACTATGGTTTGCAACTGCACATGGGGACAAAGATCTTACTTTTTGGAGAAATGTCCTCTGGTCTGATGAAACAAAAATAGAACTGTTTGGCCATAATGACCATCGTTATGTTTGGAGGAAAAAGGGGGTCTTGCAAGCCGAAGAACACCATCCCAACCGTGAAGCACGGGGTGGCAGCATCATGCTGTGGGGGTGCTTTGCTGCAGGAGGGACTGGTGCACTTCACAAAATAGATGGCATCATGAGGAAGGAAAATTATGTGGATATATTGAAGCAACATCTCAAGACATCATTCAGGAAGTTAAAGCTTGGTCTCAAATGGGTCTTCCAAATGGACAATGACCCCAAGCATACTTCCAAAGTTGTGGCAAACAAGGACAACAAAGTCAAGGTATTGGAGTGGCCATCACAAAGCCCTGACCTCAATCCTATAGAAAATTTGTGGGCAGAACTGAAAAAGCGTGTGCGAGCAAGGAGGCCTACAAACCTGACTCAGTTACACCAGCTCTGTCAGGAGGAATGGGCCAAAATTCACCCAACTTATTGTGGAAGGCTACCCGAAATGATTGACCCAAGTTAAACAATTTAAAGGCAATGCTACCAAATACTAATTGAGTGTATGTAAACTTCTGACCCACTGGGAATGTGATGAAATAAATAAAAGCTGAAATAAATCATTCTCTCTACTATTATTCTGACATTTCACATTCTTAAAATAAAGTGGTGATCCTAACTGACCTAAGACAGGGAATTGTTACTAGGATTAAATGTCAGGAATTGTGAAAAACTGAGTTTAAATGTATTTGGCTAAGGTGTATGTAAACTTTCGACTTCAACTGTAGGTGAATTGCATCAATTATGGAGCTGTCGATTGAGTAAACAACAATCAGGCATGATGCAGTCAGCATTAGAAAATATATTCAAATTGAGAAAAGTTCAATTGTACAAATGATGTAACTTGGGCTTTGCGTAGTTCTAAGTTGTTTGTTTTATAGATCCTCAAGCTGGTTTCACTGGCTGTACTAGAAAAATTACCATTCATCTCCTATAAAAGAACACACCATCGGATTTCACACCATTGTGTTTCTCAAATACTTCACACGCCGTTTGAAAGCCACCTAAAGGTGAGGATGGTTGATCATGTAGATAGATGTGGCTTAGGTGTCATAAAAAGATTCACGAATCTACAGACTGATGTGAAACTTCACTGGAGGGTCAGTGACATCATTTGACGACGTGTTTTGTATTGACTCTCTCAACGTGTTAAATGTTTCATTGTTTGCCATAAAATACTAAAAACACCAGGAAATCAGCTCCAAGTGATTTTTAATTTTGGAAATCTGTTCCCAAGTATTCCCACGCATAATAGAGAGGCAAGTGATCGTATACAAATGTAAGCAAGGTTTGAAATGATTATGTTTTAGTCAAATATTATATCTGTTTGGGCTTCTTGCGGTCAATTCGCAGTCTACAAATTATTTGTAATTATGTTCCGACCATCCACTTCCGGCCCCCCGACCATCCAAAAGTTGGCCCGCGGCTGAATCTAGTTGATGATCCCTGTTGTAGGCATTCCTGCTTGTCTTCACTGCTTGGACATGTCTGTCAAACACAGTGAATAACAACTTGTAGTCATTCAAACCAGCTGTAGTGCTTAACTGTAGCCCCACTCGCCTGAGGCGTAAGGTATGTGTGCTCTCCTTGCTCTGCCAACAGTTGAGCAGTCGTTAGCATGCACCAGCTCGTTTCTGTGTTTTAAGTAACAACAAGGAACCAGCATGTCAGTTTTTTGAGTCCGTTTAACAGTATTTCTGTGTTTTTGAACTTTGAAAGAAATAAGTCATCAGCGTTTTGTGTTGCTTGTCATGGATAGGGCCCTAGGTTTTTCTTGTGCACGTGACCTGTCTTGGAAAAACTCCATGGGCCCTTGTTTAGTTTAAAGGGCTCTCCACAGTCTACTCAACGGATCCGACGCAGGGTCGTTTGTGTAGCTCTCTACATAGTTCTAAGTACTTTTGTGAGGCTGCATTTTTGGAATGCGACTCAAACGGAGCTCCATTTGCGTAGACTGAAATCACTGTGGAGAGTCCTTAACTAGGGCCCACTGTTTGTCCTAGTCAGGTCTTATGGTATGGAAAAACTCAAGTGCTCTAGTCATAGGAGCAGAAGGGACCCAACCCAAGTATTAAAACCAGTGACTCACAGGGAACTCAGAAAGTTATATTAGATAATCAGTGTGATCTGCATGCATGCCCCTACCTGAGCATATTCCCAGCTGCTAGTATCCTGGTAATCAAAAGGAAGAAGCACACACCCAGGTCCTTACCCAGGTCCTTATTATTGGGGGAGGACAGGCAGGAAGAGAGAGTAAGGGAGGTGGAGACCTCTTCATTTCTTCCTTTTAGCCAGTTGGATCATAAAATCAACATGTTCTATATTTTGTCTTTAGACGGCATATAGTAGTCTATGTTGTGTCGCTCTCACTCATGTATTGTGTTCTCATGTCCCTAGATGAGAGCCTCTGGACCAGCATAAAGATCCCCTGAATTGGGAAGTTTGAGCTACCACATCCTACAACAGTACCTGGGACAGCATGGATTCACTCCTGAGCTACAGAGGAGGTAGCAGCAGCGGCAAGTGTTTGTTGGAGGCTGATACCAACATAGCTATCGACCATCAGAATACTAAGATTGGAGTCTCTATAGAGACATGAACTGCTGTCCTTGATCTACAGTGTGTTATTGTGTGAGCAAGACTAAGCAGCGCTCCCACACATCCCCTCCCACCTGGGCAAGAAGCCATGTCTCCTCTCTCTGCCCTGGGTGTTTTCTGTGGATTGTTCCTTCCTCTGTCTCTTAGTGAATACAACACTCACAACTGTATCCCACGCAAGAGTGTCCTCTACCAGGGTAAGTCCCTCACTCTCACTTCTCCCCTGTTTTCTCATAACGGTGTAGTGAAGTTTCCTCAAATACTAAAATGTTGGCCTTATAACTAGTGAATGAACACACACACACACACACACAGTTTGTGATACAGAGCTATCATTGAGTTTTCAAATGCTTTCCTGTTTAGACAATATGAAGCTGTTCAGAGAGCAAGGGATTTGTAACTACTCCACCATGTTGGTTCGAGAGGATTTGGGCCTGCTGCTGCTTGGGGCTCGAGAGGCTGTCTATGCCCTGGACATCAATGATATCTCCATCAAGAAGTCATGGGTAGGAAGTAGAACTTCTGTTTATTACAGGTATTCAGATATCCTCTTTAGCTATCAGTTATCCTGTATCATTTGCATACACCAATTTTATAAATCACAAATGGACTGCAATAAAAGGCTGCTGTAACTACTTTGCGGTGACCTAATACCAATGCCTTGGAACCATAAATCCATTACCTAGAACATACTTTGACGTGCAGCTCTCTGTTGTGTCAGGTATACTGGCGGGTCACTGAGGAGAAACAGATGGAGTGCACATACAAAGGGAAACATGCTGAAGTAAGTGGCTCCATCAATCATGAAACAGTTCTCCCCGCAGACAGCTGTGTGAAGTGAGTTGTTTATCTGAACACCAACAGAAGACATGACAAACAGAACCAGATACATACACTGAAATCATATATTACTATATCAACCTTGACATTTCTCATCCCTGTTCTCTTGCAGATCGAATGCCGTAACTACATCCGGACGCTGCATAAAGTGGATGACGGCAGAATGTATGTGTGCGGGACAAATGCTTTCAGTCCCACCTGTGATTACATGGTAAGTATAGCTTGGCCAGAACAGGACAGCAGGACATCTTCCTGTAAGAATAGCTCTGTTGTTTGAAGCAATCATGTGACTGCTGCAGGCAGGCAGTTGTCACTGAATATTTACAGTGAGTGTGAAATGTTTGCATACTACAGACACCTATCTGCCTTCCGTCTCTCTATTGTTAGTGGCTACTGAGTGTTAACTAATTTTGCCCTCTGGGGTATATTCCTGCTTCTCTCTCCCTGAAACAATGTGAATGAATACAGCTAAATAGTGGCTTTGTTTCTGACCCTGACAGACGTACTCTGAAGGACAGCTGAGACTAGAGGAAGCGCAGGAGGAGGGAAAAGGGAAATGCCCCTTTGATCCCTTCCAGAGATACTCTTCCATCATGGTCGGTATGTACTGTGACTCTCTGTCTGTCTCTGGTTATCTGCCCTCACAATCGTGCACCCATTGAAGTTCAAAGGGCACCAACTGAAAGTGGGGTTTCAAAGGTGCAATCTCTAACTTTCATTTTCAGTTGAAAGTGCTGCCGCTGCACTTGTTTGTTAATTGAGGGGGAGAGTTTGTAAAGTGAGGGGGCTGGGTCTTCTTGAATTGAACACATTTTTTGCTTTATGGCTGAATGTGTTTATACTACTTTGAGTTGCCAGTGGCAAAATTAAAGATTGCACCTGTAACTCTCCAAATATTTACAATATTATTTACTTTGCTTGAAGATCCATTATGTTTCCCCGTTGTGATTCTTGTTATGTCTCTGATCTGCCAGGAAATGACCTGTACTCTGCAACCTCAATCAACTTCCTGGGTTCTGAGCCTGTGGTTCTCCGCAGCTCTTCCTCTGCACTCCGCACCGAGTTTAAGAGCTCCTGGCTCAACGGTCAGCTCTCCCTTTCTGTTCATACTTGTGTTATAAACTTGTATACTGCTATACACCATGCCTTAGATTCTATTAATGTCTGCACCATATCTCCTCTAACACCTGAAGATGAACTTTGAATGGCAAAATGCATCCATAGCATTTTACATACTCTATGTGCCTTGAGTAATAACCTAGATCCTATAGGTCTCTGTGTTTTGAATTATGAAACTTCAGCTACTCCTGTAAAACAGTTCCTGATAGGTAGCGTAATAAGTGCTCATTATGATTTCAGAGCCCAACTTTGTGTACATGGACCTTGTCCCCGAGAGCAATAACAACCCAGAGGGCGATGATGATAAGGTTTACCTGTTCTTCAGCGAGAACGCCATGGAGTATGACTTCTACAACAAGCTCATGGTGTCACGAGTGGCTCGTGTATGCAAGGTAACAACTTGCTACAAATTTACTTTCAGTTGCAATAAGTTTCATTGGTCCATACATGGTATTTTAAATATAAAGAAAGGAAAGTATGTGTACACTGTTTAAACAGTGCAAGGGTATAGTGTGTGCATGTGTCCCTTCTCTCCAAAAGCATTCACTTGTTTGACTAGAACTCACACTGTGTGTAGGGGGATATGGGCGGCCAGCGGACGCTCCAGAGGAAGTGGACGTCGTTCCTGAAGGCTCGTCTGGACTGCTCTCTGCCAGAGTCCAGCCTGCCCTCCATTGTACAGGATGTCTTCCTACTCAAAAACGATGACTGGAGCAAAAGTGTTTTCTACGCAGTGTTCACTCCCCAGTCGTGAGTATTGTCAGTAGAATCCAGTGGCTTTAAAGTTGGCAACATTGTTTCAGTGGGAAGGGGACTGAGATTCTCACTATGTTTTTAATGGTTGCTTTACACGCACGTTTACCATAATCATAGGGCCAGGAGTTTTTTCCGACCCTGTGACCTGACCAGAAACCCCAGGCTAATAGAAGGCTAACTATAACTAGTGCCTAGGGTATTTTCCAAGTGGTCAGGAAAGACATAGGGACCTAACCATGATATACTGGTGGTTTGAAAACATCAAACATGTTTTTCTGACTGTGTGTTTGCTCTAGGAGCTTGTCCGACATGTCTGCAGTGTGTGCGTACAGTGTGTCAGCTATCGGAGACGTGTTCAATAAGGGGAAGTTTAAGACGCCAGTGACTGTGGAGACGTCGCATGTGAAGTGGGTCATGTACAGTGGAGAGGTGCCCACCCCCAGACCTGGAGCCGTATGTCCCATTTTAATATTATTGTGAAGATCTAAATGGTTTAGGGCCACAAAAGGAAATGATCTACTTTTCTACAGTTCAGCTACTAACTCAGCACTAATAAATGTATTATTTTCAAGTTATTACCACTCATCAATCCTCTGTTGTTTTTCAGTGCATTAACAATGCAGCGCGGGCCCTTGGGATGGAGCGCTCCCTGGACCTGCCAGACAAGACCCTGCAGTTCATCAGGGACCGGCCCCTCATGGACGAGGCCGTGCGCCCTCTGACTGGGGGTCCGCTGCTGGTCAAAAAAGGAGCCATGTTCACACGACTGGTGGTGGACAACGTGCAAGCTCTGGATGGAGAGAGATACGCAGTCATGTTCATCGGCACAGGTACTGTACAGCGCACACACAGCCCTAGAACAGACTTCTTCTGGCAGTGGATCTCAGACAATGACATGGGTGTCCTTCTCTCCTTACAGAGAACGGCTATGTGCAGAAGGCAGTGAACTACGCTGGGGAGATGTTCATCATTGAGGAAATACAGCTGTACCAGACCCCAGAGGCTATCAGGACGCTACGCCTCTCCTCCAGCACGGTAACACTAACTCAGTCAATCAAACTTGATTTGTATAGCGCATTTAACAAATGCGTTCTTCACAAAGTTCTTATTGGCAACTCTGGTTTAAACTCCCAAGGTGCAGCAACATTTTACGAAGCATTTTGCAAAACAACGTTTTACTGATATTGTGGTCATTCATACAATGTAAACATAAGGGTTTTACGGGATCAATGGCAGTTTATTGTTGTCTCCTGGCATTTCTGCAGACCGATGGTTACTCATTTACTTTTTATTTCCTTGGCACTTACAATAGATCATTCGAGGAGAATGGCATTGTGTCATTGCTGTTACCAACAGTGGGTGGAACAGACTCATCGAGCTGCTGACACTCATGTGGTATTGGTTTGTGTTCTTGTTTCCCCAGGGTCAGCTGTATGCAGGCTCAGAGTATGGAGCTGTGCAGATGCCTCTGAGTGACTGTGGCCGCTATGAGTCGTGTCTGGACTGTGTCTTGGCCAGAGACCCTTACTGTGGATGGGACCTCACCACTGGCATCTGCTCTTCTGTGGCCAGCTCATCCTCTGACATGTACGTTTTCACTGTAGACTAACCTCTGACTTTAAATAAAGATTAGTGTGTTTACTATATGTTAGAATTTAAGTATACCCTAATGTTTCAAGTTTATTTATCTTTCAGGAACATGATTCAAAGTCTAAAAGATGGTAATATATCAAAATGTCCAAAATCAGGTAAATTGATTTCACAATATTTAAATGTTCAGCACACTACGAACAAAGAACAGATGTAGTCATCACTTCCTTTGACGAGTAGATGCACATAGGAATGCTTGCGTTTTTGTGTGTATTGCAGAGACTGTGAAGCCAGAGAACTACACCTTAGTCCCTGGGAACAACATCAAGCTGCCGTGCCATCCTGACTCCAACCTGGCTCAGGTACACTGGCTCTTCTTAGGGCAACAGCTGCCGTCTGATGCCAAGTATTACATCTACAACGGAGGGATCCTCATTCTTAATGCCTCTGCCACCGACGCGGGCCAGTACACCTGTGAGTCTGTAGAGCAGGTGAACAGCAGACCGCACACCAGGACTATGGCAGTCTATCAACTGCAGCCCCACACTAACACAGAGGATGAGGAGGAGGCGAGTGAGACGACGACAGAGTCCCCCCATAGCCACAATACCCCACTACCAGAGCTCCTGGAGGTGCCACATACTTTGGAGCCCCCTCTCCCTCCTGAGTCACGGAGTGAAGATGGCAGGGTGGTAGGCCTGCAGGTGGCGGTAGCTCTCCTCTCTCTGATGCTGGTTGGTCTAGTAACCTGGAATCTGTATAAAGGAAGCTTTAGAAACAGATCTTCAGAGAACTCAGGTGCCTGCCAGGTGAAAAGGCTGTCAGTTGACTACATGCACATTCAAAACAATAGGACTTCAGAAATGAAGTTGCTGGGACCTACACCCAGTCATAACGCTAACAATAACCATCACACAGTCATAGCTTTCAAAGGGAATGGGGAGCACCACTTTTCTCCAGGACACAACATTTCCACTATGGACGGTTTGGGTTACATTGACAACGAGTCAGAGATCTGACCCTGAGTGTTCACCACTCTCTGGGGGTTTGCCCTCTTTCTCTCTTACCAGGCAGCTGATTTAGGACACTAAGGCCATGTCAGGCTCTGTATATTGGACTTAGAGGCACGTTTGTTATATTTTTCTAGGAATTGTCCATAAAAACATTTCCCCACCAGGTTGAATTTATTTTGTGTAGTCATGCCATAATGCAAATATACAGTGAGCTCCAAAAGTATTGTGCCCAATAGAAATTAATGGTAAATCATGTATTGTGTCATTTGAGTCAGCTTTATTGTAAATAAGAATAGAATATGATTCTAAACACTTCTACGTTAATGTGGATGCTACCATGATTACAGATAGTCCTGAATAAATTGTGAATAATGATGAGAAAGTTTCAAATCACAAATATCATACCCCCAATACATGTTAACTTCTCACTATTTTTGTTTCTTTTTTGGCCATTTTAATTGAAAACAATCACAGTAAGGTACTTAATTGTTCCCCAGAAATGATTTGACATTGAGATAAAAAGGCTGCATTGGACCTTTTTTATGTAAGATGTGTGACGTAACTGACGTAATGTCAGTCACTTCACTGGAGTTTGTTTTTGTACTACACAATGATGGACAGATGAGGTCTGTGTTGTATATCCCAGCCAGCCATTATGATCTACTGACAGCTGTGAATACAGTATTGGTATGGAGTTTTATACTGTATTGATTATATTGAAAATAAATGCATACTTTAAAGTATGAAATAAACACTAAAACGTGATGTGATAATTGTCAGGAAGAGAAGCTGAATAACACCAGTCAGACGGTCTTAATAAGAATATTTACTGAATTGTTTAAGTTAGTGAGTCATTGCTTGCCTCATACGATCCATCCTGATCTCGCAAGCTTACATTCTGTTTCAATACACGGACACAGTATCTGTGTAGCGAAACAATGTAAGCTTGCAAGATCAGGATGGTTTGTTCTAGGCTGAGTCATTGCAGCAACGCATTTGAAGCATTTAAGAATGTCTAAATATTCACTACAGAATGACACGCATTACAGACAAGCCATACAAAACAAACAAAAAATAAACCTCATTATGGTAGTTAACCCTGGAGAGGAACACTTGAATAGAAAATAAAAGTTAAGTCACATACTCAAGATGAGTGGCTGCTGCTCTCCCAGCCAGACTCCAGCCTGGAACACACTGACAGAGATGAGCTGTTTTGGAGTACTGGCTAGAGAGAAGGGTGCTTCCACAACAGGGCACTGACCATCAAAAGCAAAGAAAGAAGAGATCAGTACACTGCACCCGATTAGTGAAAAATAAAAGGCTCAGGTTGAATAAGAAGGATACAATATTCCTTTGATGTGAAATCTAGCATTAGTGATAAATGTGTTTAAGCACATTTCTCATTGGCTTTGTCTAGTTACACTGAAACATGTAGCAGTACTTAAGGCGACAGTCAAGCAAATATTTTTTTTACATGCAAATACTGTATGTACGATTAAGGCGCGTTTAGTTTTCAGAAACAAGCCAAAGAAGATCAAGTAAAAAGAAAAGGTATCAAAAACAAACACTTGTGATATCAATAAAAAAACAATACATTATCACTAAGTAAAAACATCCATATTTCCAGCTACAAGAGGAGAACCCTGATCTTCAGTCACGTCCAGTAGTGTTAAGGCTTTTGTTGATTTCATACAGTACAGTATTGAATTGGCAAGAATTGATCACCGAATATAGCCACCAAAATTGATCCAAAGACAACTTTGAAATCACCTTGCTTCTTTTCTGTTTCAGACATTTTAAGATAAGGCACAAGCCTTTGACATATCAATTTTATTGAACAGTATTAATTCTGCTACTGTAATATAAACAATCTATAATACAAGACCCCTTTCTAGCTCTCCAAGTACAAATGAAAATCATATTTTTTTTTATTTCAGTCGCTCTTCCAAATATGAGGGAACATATTCATATTTTGAGAGTAGAAAATAAAAATATTTAAACATATGTAATGGATCATATTTTGGATATCCATCACACATTTTTCCAACAATATAAGGCTTAGATTAGTTTTCCTGGAAAAGCTTCCCACTCCAGTAAACAGTGTCTATAACAGTGGCCTCTTTAAATCTAAAATGAAGTACTGCTGAATAAAATCAGCTGATTATCCTTTTTTTCTTAACATTCTTACTTAAATTCCAGCTATGCATTTCATATATTATCAAGGTGAGATTGTACAAGTGTGATGTGGTGGACAAGTGTGGTGTGGTGGACTATCCTGCATGCCATGGAAAAAGTGCTCTGTCTCCATCTAGAGTCCACTTAGGGTTTTACCAGGGGCCATTGTCTGGGTAGCTTGGCACAGAAGCAGGGTATTGGGGTAGGCTTGGGCCAGTTTCAGTGACAGCATTGAAGCCGGCCTCTCTCACAGGGGCGCTCTTCCAGAGTCCATTGGTCCACTCTTCCTGTGCACGCTCAAAGCTGCCCCCTCCGCCACGGTACATCCTATGAACCTGATAGAAGCAGAGCAGACAAACCAACTCGTTATACAGTCCTGAAAGTTTATTCTCTTTCCTTGCCTACAATGAGTGAATTGTCAAAATGTTATGTATTTTTCTGATTTGTGTGTGTGTTTCCAGGTGCTCATGCATTTTTTAGGTGTGTGTGTGCGCGTTGGACTCACCCTGATGAGAACCAGTCCCATCAACACAGTCACCAGAGTAAAGAGCAGAGCTGAGAATAGCATGACTACAGCAGAACCCACGTTGTAGCTGAAAAACAGCACTGTCGCGATCCAACCACTTTGGGGGTTCATCAGAGTGGTGGAGCAGTGGGGTTAGTATTTGTCAATGGCATGAATACTGGATTACATCAGCTGTAGTTATTCACCTATCACAGCATGACACTGCAGTGAGTAAAATGAAGGTGGCATTGATACATAATCTACAGGTGATCTTTATTGCTAAGCTGTGAAGATTTTTCTATATTCCTGAGGTAAGTGAGGCACAAGCCATTCAGATATAGCAGCCAAAATCCTAGACAGTCCCTTCCAGACTTGAGGATATAAAATATTCATTCTCACCAAGCACCCCAACCAGAGATGCCCACAGTCTGAATGAGAGCAAGAACACACTGGAGGAAGAAGATGAAGAAGAAGGCCATGAAGTTGAAGGAACTGTCAGCCCTAGGAAAGAGAAAGGGAGTTATGGAGTCAGTCAAGAAAATTGTATTTGGAGTGCAAAATTATAGATGTTTGGCTTGACGTTTGTTGAGTGGACCTTACCGAAAGGCCTTGTAGAGAGGTCTAAACCAGCATGTGTAGCTGCACGGACTGAAGAGAAGAAGCCAGAGCAGGGAAAGGCCGAAATTGGCTGCACTTCCACCTCCTGCCCACCAAGCTATGCATGACACCACGTTCACACACAGTGTGACTGAATACACTGCAGAGAGGAGCAGAGACACCACAAAACATTAACATATTCACTCAGCATTGAATGAAACACAGTCCAGTTCCCAGAGTAGGCCTATATGTGACCCAATAAAGATTGTTGGTGTAACTCACACATCCAGAGGTTGTAGACCCTGCGCACCAGCTGTCGGTGCAGGGCTGGGATCTCCTCCTCCACATTCTGGTAAAAGCAGGGCTTGATTCTTAGGAACTGAGGCAGCGGGGGGAAGTTGTTGACCCGCTCTGAAAACAGGAAACGGATGATTACACATGGGAAAACAGGATGTCAGTGAAACGAGAATACAGTGAATTTTGAGAATTTTTTGGAATATAACAAATGGTGAGGCACAATAGTGAAAGTGGTCAGTGTTATTAGTTGATCTTTATGGCCACAATTTAACTATGAAAATTTGTGATTAAATTATTATTTTATTTTTTATAATAATAATGCGATAAAAAAATATATATATATATATATATATATATATAGTTACGTCAGGATATTATTTTTGCCAATATATCGTATTGTTTTGACAATCGTAATATTATTTTTGCGCTAGTTGGCTGTAGTTGCACCAAAACTCCAGTATTTTTCCTTCATTGCTTGTTCTCCATCTTCTTTTTAAATACGGAGCCAATTTGTTTTCAGCACTTATTTCCATGAGTGATCAAAACTTGTTTTCACATGGCTCCCTCTTGTCCCTCTGCAGCAGACATATGGTGAGCAATAGGTTGGGAACATCGAATCGCAATACATATAGAATCCCAATACATATCGTATCGGCATCAATGTATCGCGATAATCTACAGGTGGCAGCAGGTAGCTTAGTGGTTAAGAGCGTTGTGCCAGTAACCGAAAGGTCGCTGGTTCTAATCCCCGTGCTGACTAGGTGAAAAATCTGTTGATGTGCCCTTGAGCAAGGCACTTAACCCGAATTGCTCCTGTAAGTCGCTCTGGATAAGAGCGTCTGCTAAATGACTAAAATATAAATATATATATATATAATATCATATCGTGAGGTCCCTAGCAATTCCCAGCCCTAATGAGTATGGTATGGCTATTTGAATAAAAAGATTGAGTGTGTCACTTATAATCTGTGTCATGCGTATACATTACTTGTAACAGGTACATGTCATGTTTCATGAAGAACATAATTACATTGTTTACAGCAAGACTTCAATTGCAAAACGTTTAGATACAAACCTGTCATTATGAAATCCTATGTGTGTCCTTTCCTGCAACATAACACAAATAATTGGCATACTTTACATCTCATAAACATTCAAATAAATAATTATCTGGGAACGTGCAGTGTCTGATTTATAACTAATCAACAACAAAATACTCTCAGTGATATCAAGATGATGACAAAGATTAAATTATATGCATGAGATAGTCAGGTCACGTGTCCCTACTAGATATGGGTATGCTAGCTAGGAGGTAATTTTCTAGTAAACCCAGTTTAAAAGATACACTTACCTTTGATAACTTCGTAAAAATAAGAAATGTAAGTAGCTAGCTATATTTAGGCAAGAAAATAAGACCACGCGTAAGATACAATTTTGACTAACTACCCCTATTAGCCAGGTAATTAGCTAACGTAAAGTTAGCTAGTACTACTGTCAGTATGTAGATAATGATTTGTTAGCGGTCTTCAAGCGAAATGTCATAAAAAGGTCAGCTGCCATGTGGATACAATGAACTGATTAATAGCAGATTCAATGTTAAAGAAATAAAGCTAGTGATTGTGTAACTTATTTTCTTGTAATTCAATGTTTTGCTAGCACCTACCTGAAAACCACTAACTCAAGCTCGGTTCGGGATGGTCGTAACTAGCTACCACAGCCACAAAGGCATAAACCCCGCCTATTTCTACAATTTATCTTCTTAAAATCTGATTTTACACATAAACCTAACCTTAACCCTTACCACATTGCTAACCTTATGCCTAACCCTAACCTTAAATTAAGACCAAAACGCGACATTTTGTTTTCATAAATTTGTATGGTATAGCGAATGTTGACTTTGTGGCTGTGGTATCTAGCTGGTGGAAACCGTTAGGGGTCGCGTCGAACCAAAGCCACCGCACTGCATTGAGGGAGTGGTAGTTCAACACAGGTCCCACCAAAGCAAATTTAAATACGATTGTTTCGATTGTGAAACTACAGATCCCGTAACCTATAGAGGGCGTGGACAGGAGACGTGTGACTTCAGAGAGAGCTGGATAATTCTTGTCCCTAGATAAGAAAAGCTACGTTATGGCAAATTAACAATGATGTATTTTCTTGATCAACTATCAGTTTTGTGGAGTTGATGTTGAATAAGTTTTTTCTATTGTCAGGAGTTTACTATTGTCCGATTCCCTTGACATACGTTATATTGTATTTACCATAGGCTTAGGCAACTGTCTTTTCCATGTGGGTACCGTACTGTGTCCTACAAATATGTCCTACAACACCTTTTGCACCCGACAGTAGCAGAAACGCAAACAGAATATGTGAAGAAACTTCAATTCTGCTGATCTCAGTCACACATAATTAATCCATCACTACCTCTACAACTTGCCTCCCACACCTCAACAAAAAGGCTCATACTTTTCCGAAACTTTAGTATTTTCTGGTGATTTTCATTGAGACATGATACTTGGTTGGCAACTGTATTCTCAAAGGAGTTGATCAATGATAATTTTGTCTGCAACTCTTAATTGTACAGTTGAAGTCGGAAGTAAGAGCATCTGCTAAATGACTAAAATGTAATGTAAAATGTAATGTAAGTTTACATACACTTAGGTTGGAGTCATTAAAACTCGTTTTTCAACCACTCCACACATTTCTTGTTAACAAACTATACTTTTGGCAAGTCGGTTAGGACATCTACTTTGTGCATGACACAAGTAATGTTTCCAACAATTGTTTACAGACAGATTATTTCATTTATAATTCACTGTATCACAATTCCAGTGGTTCAGAAGTATACATACACTAAGTTGACTGTGCCTTTAAACAGCTTGGGAAATTCCAGAAAATGATGTAATGGCTTTAGAAGCTTCTGATAGGCTAATTGACATAATTTGAGTCAATTGGAGGTGTACCTGTGGATGTATTTCAAGGCCTACCTTCAAATTCAGTGCCTCTTTGCTTGACATCATGGGAAAATTAAAAGAAATCAGCCAAGATTGTAGACCTCCACAAGTCTGGTTCATCCTTGGGAGCAATTTCCAAACGCCTGAAGGTACCATGTTCATCTGTCCAAACAATAGTACGCAAGTATAAACACCATGGGACCACGCAGCCTTCATACTGCTCAGGAAGGAGACACGTTCTGTCTCCTAGAGATGAACGTACTTTGGTGCGAAAAATGCAAATCAATCACAGAACAACAGCAAAGGACCTTGTGAAGATGCTGGAGGAAACAACAGGTACAAAAGTATCTATATCAACAGTAAAACGAGTCCTATATCGACATAACCTGAAAGGCCGCTCAGCAAGGAAGAAGCCACTGCTCCAAAACTGCCATTAAAAAAAGCCAGACTACGGTTTGCAACTGCACATGGGGACAAAGATCGTACTTTTTGGAGAAATGTCCTCTGGTCTGATGAAACAAAAATAGTTTGGCTTGCTACATTTGCACACACTGTATATATATTTTCTGTTGTATTTTTGACTTTATGTTTTGTTTACCCCATATGTAACTCTGTTGTTTTTATCGCACTGTTTTGCTTTATCTTGGCCAGGTCGCAGTTGCAAATGATAACTTGTTCTCAACTGGCTTACCTGGTTAAATAAAGGTGAAATAAAAAATAAAGAAATGACCATCGTTATGTATGGAGGAAAAAGGGGGACGCTTGCAAGCCGAAGAACACATTTACATTGTAGTCATTTAGCAGACGCTCTTATCCAGAGCGACTTACAGTTAGTGAGTGCATAAACATTTTTTCCCTCTCATACTGGCCGCCTGTGGGAATCGAACCCACAACCCTGGCGTTTTGAACACCATGCTCTACCAACTGAGCTACACGGGAGACCATCCTAACCGTGAAGCATGGGGGTGGCAGCATCATGCTGTGGGGGTGCTTTGCTGCAGGAGGGACTGGTGCACTTCACAAAATAGATGGCATCATGAGGAAGGAAAATTATGTGGATATATTGAAGCAACATCTCAAGACATCAGTCAGGAAGTTAAAGCTTGGTCGCAAATGGGTCTTCCAAATGGACAATGACCTCAAGCATACTTCCAAAGTTGTGGCAAAATGGCTTAAGGACAACAAAGTCAAGGTTTTGGAGTGGCCATCACAAAGCCCTGACCTCAATCCTATAGAACATTTGTGGGCAGAATTTAAAAAGCGTGTGCGAGCAAGGAGGCCTACAAACCTGACTCAGTTACACCAGCTCTGTCAGGAGGAATGGGCCAAAATTCACCCAACTTATTGTGGGAAGGTTCTGGAAGGCTACCCGAAACGTTTCACCCAAGTTAAACAATTTAAAGGCAATGCTACCAAATTCTAATTGAGTGTATGTGAACTTCTGACCCACTGGGAATGTGATGAAAGACATAAAAGCTTAAATAAATCCTTCTCTCTACTATTATTCTGACATTTCACATTCTTAAATTAAAGTGGTGATCCTAACTGACCTAAGACAGGGAATTTTTACTAGGATTAAATGTCAGGAATTGTGAAAAACTGAGTTTAAATGTATTTGGCTAAGGTGTATGTAAACTTCCGACTTCAACTGTATCTATTTATTGAGAGAGGGCATCTGAACAAAAAAAAAAAAAGGAGGAATTCCTCACATGAAGGCCTTGTTGTGAGAGGAAGAGATCGACAATCAATGATTTTTCCTTTTATAGATCTCATTTTCTCCTCAGCGTTACATCTAGTTATTTTTGTTGTTATTTTTTAGTACTACATTGATATTGATCACTGCATTGTTAGGTGTAGAGGTTGCAAGAAAGGCATTTCACAGAACTTGTGCACGTGACATTAAAACTTGAAACGTTTGTCTACATCATGTGTCTCTCGTCATAGAGGTTTTGCCTTTTGTATTATTTTCAGTTCTTTGTCATGTTGTTTTGCCATCATTTTATTTTCCCATTAAAAGACATTCAGACTGACATTCTGTTAATTAATTTAATGTTGCATGCATGCAAGCTTGTGTTTTGATTGCTACAGAGTACATACTTTTTTTCTGATTGTCAACATGTTTTGAGTATTTACTTGGTTAAACCCACTGAGTGACTTCGTCCAATCACAACTTTATTTGAATTTATTCCACGACACTATTCGGTGACATCCAATCACTAATCGTACTCTCTTGAAAACAGAGAAAGCAACCTATCATAAAGAACAACATCTCAAAAGAAGGCGTGACTGACAAAATATCCAGAAAAAAAAGTATAGATCCCGCCCTTCGGTTTGCTAGTGATCCAGCCAATCAGCAAAGGATTCTGAGGACAGCTACACACTCCCGCCAAATCTGACTGACGGGCGCGAGGCAAGATACGGGGATCCAGGCAAAGCAAAGGGAGCGTGTGGGAGATGCGGATATAATAAAATTAACTTAGTCTTAAAAGTAATAATACCCAGCCAACATTATATTTGCATGATATTAGTGTTACTCTGGAAGACCTGTCAATATTGCTACTTCATATGGTTTTGTGTTATTGCAACGCTTTTCCGCACAAGGATATCAAAAGTGAGGGAAGTTCTCGGATGGTGGTGGTGATGCTGGCGGTGGAAGATCCATCCGTGGACGGGCATTTAGCATCCACTCCACGGAGGAGAGGTAGCGACGATATTTAGCTATGTTTTAACCTTCAAATGTTTTGGGCATTTAGTTATCTGAGGTAGTTAGTTACTGTTTGATTTAGCTTTCAATTTGTCTACGACCACATAGCTAGTCAACACTAACTTATGTCTTGCTAGCTAGGTTAGCTAACTAGCATGTTGTATTTAGCCAGCTAACTACTAGTAGCATGTTGTAACTTTAGCTAACCTCAAGTAAGGTTCGCTAACACTAAGTTGTTAACGTTAGCCAGACCGTCATAACATTTTCAAACACGTAACTAGTAACGTCGTTAGTGTAAAGTGAGCTTTCATGTAGTTATCTACCCTTGAAGTTTCCTTAGTCTAGTTAATCTTCATAATTTATTCGTCAGCCAGCATGGGAGCTAACGTCATTTGGCTCTGATGTGATGAGAGTTTGTGCTAAGCTTACTAGCGAGCTAGCTAGAAACCCCGTTGCCTTCAGCTAGCAAGCTAGCTAGCTGATGTGCACCAAAATTGAGTGTTTTGGTTGTTTTGCTGACCAGCTTGTTGATAGTCAGAAAATATATCATTTAAATTAGACATCGAGTCACACATTGTTATCTTACTGTTATAAACTTGGCATGTTAGCTAACAAACGAACTAACATCTGCTTTGAGGCAACCTTCTCTCCCCGCCGCGGTATGAGTGTAACGTTAGCTACACCCGGGCCTTTGCACTGGGCTTAGATTGATTCACCGAATGGCGGGAGAGCAAAGCAAACACCTCCCTATAGTTTGCCCAACCACTTGTACCATAGTCTCGTATTTAGTTTTTACTAACTATTATATTGAAAATTATTTGAACTGCATCGCTAGTCCGTTTACTTGGTTAGTGGCAAGTCTAGATAACTGTTGATTGCTCCCTAGTTGACTGACATTTATTAAATTTTTACAGATAATTCCTTGAATAACCTGGATGCATTTGTCAAGTTAACAGTATGAGTAAACTAAGAACAAAGAACTAGCTGATAGCAAGAATACAGTTCAGTGGGGGATAAAGTAGTTGGTGATTAAGTCATAGGTGTAGTGACTATTCTTGTGGTTGTCCTTTGATTTTGGACATTTATAAAGGTACTGCACAGAATGGTTGATGTTCTAGTATCCGTTTTGTGTAACAGAAAGTGGCTCATAACATGTTTGCAGCTGGAACCATTGTACTACTGCAATTACTGATAGTGAAGTAAAAGTGTATTGAAAAACAAATCGATCTACACTGAACAAAAATATACACATCACTTTCTGTTGGTGACATGTTTCATGAGCTGAAATAAAAAAATCCTAGAAATGTTCCATATGCACAAAAATCTAATTTCTCTCAAATGTTGTGCACAAATTTGTTTAACATCCCTGTTAGTGAGCATTTCTCCTTTGCCAAGATAATCCATCCACCTGACAGGTGTGGCATATCAATAAATTGATTTAACAGCATGATCATTACATTTACATTTTCGTCATTTAGCAGACGCTCTTATCCAGAGCGACATACAAATTAATCATGCGGGAGACAATAAAAGGCCACTCTAAAATGTGCGGTTTTGTGTCACAACACCATAGATCTCTTAAGTTTTGAGGGAGCGTGCGATTGGCATGCTGACTGCAGGAATGTCCACCAGAGCTGTTGCCAAAGAATTGAATGTTCATTTCTCTACCATAAGCCACCTCCAACGTCGTTTTAGAGAATTTGGCAGTATGTCAAACCGGCCACACAACCGCAGACCACATATAATATCATAATAATATATTATAATAATATGTAACCATGGCAGCCCAGGACCTCCACATCCGGCTTCTTCACCTGCGGGATCGTCTGAGACTAGCCACCCGGACAGCTGATGAAACTGTGGGCTTGCACAACTGAAGAATTTCTGCACAAACTGTCTGAAAACGTCTCAGGGAAGTTCATCTGCGTGCTCATCGTCCTCACCAGGGACTTGACCTGACTGTAGTTCAGCGGGCAAATACTCAACTTCGATGGCCGCTGGCACGCTGGCGTAGTGTGCTCTTAACAGATTCATCCCGGTTTCAACTGTACCGGGCAGATGGCAAACAGCGTGTATGCCGTTGTGTGGGTGAGCAGTTTGTCAACGTTGTGTACAGAATGCCCCGTTGTGGTATGGGCAGGCATAAGCTACGGACAATGAACACAATTGCATTTTATCGATGGCCATTTGAATGCAGAGATACTGTCACGAGATCCTTAGGCCCATTGTCGTGCCATTCATTCGCCGCCATCGCCTCATGTTTCAACATGATAATGCATGGCCCCATATCACAAGGATCTGTACACAATTCCTGGAAGCTGAAAATGTCCCAATTCTTCCATGGCCTGCATACTCATCAGACATGTCACCCATTGAGCATGTTTGGGATGCTCTGGATCGACATGTACGACAGCGTGTTCCAGTTCCCGCCATTATCCATATACTTACTAGTTTTTTGATCCACGCCCCTACCGATTTTTAAGGTATCTGTGACCAACAGAGGCATATCTGTATTCCCAGTCATGTGAAATCCATAGATTAGGGCCTAATGAATTTATTTCAATTGACTGATTTCCTTATATGAACTGAGTAAAATCTTTGAAATTGTTGCATGTGGGAGTTTTATTTTTGTTCAGAAAATGTTTCATGACCGGAGGATGGTTGTGGGATTGTTGTCATCTCATCTTCCATACCTTGTTTTGGTTACAGGTATGGATGGCAAAGTCAAACCCAGCAATGCTAACAAGAAGCTTGTTCAGGGTAAGTGAACCTTTCTGGTGTTTTGAATGCATATTAGATGGTTTTATTTAGCAAAAGGAGACTTATAATACATAATGCTATCAAACTATTTGAAACAATTCATAGAAATTCTAATTTAGTAAATTTATATTTCAAATGAATCAAATTCGTTGTAATAATTTAGTGTCTTTGCTTTATCACTCTAAAAGCTGTCATTATTGTTTGCCCAAAGACTTGTTAATATGAAATGGATTTAGTCCAACTTGAACATCAGTGATGATAAAGGATATTTTCTCCTCAGCTCGCCTTCCATTCAAGCGTCTAAATCTAGAGCCCAAGGAGACCATTGAGCCCAAAAGGACCTGCGCCCTTTCCCGCTCAGAGCCTGGGCTGTCAGATGGGGAGAATGAATCCGATTGCTCCCCCCTAGCCGTGCGTCACGGACCGGCCCTGATTAATGGCCGCGGACCCCTGGATGGATTCATGAGTCGCAGCACCCAAGCGTCCCCTGCCAAAAGCATAGTTATTGATCTCACTGAGGACTCCAATTCAAGTGACCTTTTAAAGAAGCAACCTGCGACACCCATTGTTGCCTCGTGTCCTCCGACACAAATCAACCACCTGAGCAAAACCCTAAGTGCTGTAACAGCCACCAAAACAGATCACACTGTCAAGATGGAGCCCATAGATTGCAAGGTGGGTGATGAACAGAAGGAAGGGGGGGACACTGCATCCATCTCACAGCTAGACACCACACAGGGATCTGACACGGAGGAGGAGGAAGAAGAGGAGGATGAAGAAGAACAAGAGGAGTCTGTCGAGGCTGATATGTCCAGTCATGGGAATGGGTCCATGCTGTCTCCTTCATCCACCAGCTCTCTGTCAGCGGCCGAGAGTTCCCCAGAGGCTGCTAAGACCGAGAACACTCCTACTGTCACAGTGAGTACAAAATGGCAATTCGATTCAATAAACATTCAATGTCATCAGTGATTTTTGAATAAATGTACATCAGCAATCTCCTGTTAACTTTTCAAATCACTATTCTGATATGAAAAATTATAAATCTATGTTACCTTTCTTCCTCTCATTACAGGAGCCAAATACCACCCCTAAAATAGAGCAGAAAACTGTGAAAAGACGATCTTTAAAGGTATAATTAGCAGCAATAAGTCACTTCGGTATTTCACCGCTAATTGGCATACTTTTGCATCCAAATGCCTATTTAAACATCTTCATCTAGACACTTATCTAAAACGGAATTGTGCTTTCTTCTCTCCCATAGAGTTTGCAGGAGCAAGAGGAGATGCTACACCAGCGCAAAGAGAGAGAGCGGCAGCGGGAGGAGGCTAAAGAAGCTAAAGAGAAGAAGAAAGAGGAGGCTCGCAAACTGAAGGAGGAGAGGGAGAAGGAAAGAAAGGAGAAAAAGGAGAAAGAGGAAAAGGAAAAAGCAGAGAAATTAAGAGCGAAAGAGGAGCAACGCAAATCGAAGCAAGAGTGAGTGTTGCTTGATCAAAAACCAGCTAGCAACAGATCTGAAATGTCTTGTTACTTTTATATTGACGCAACTGCAAAAATTGATTGAACGTTTATTTATTAAAGCAAATGTAATTCTTGCAATTGACATATTAAGATGATATAATTTCCCCCAGGGCAAAACTTGAAGAAAAGAGAAAAAAAGATGAGGAGAAACGGTTGAAAGAAGAGAAGGATGTGAGTTGATCATTTTTATGCTGAGGAGTGTTTCTATTCTCTAAATCAAAATGTAATGACTGACATTTTAAAGCTTGACAATTGCCATTTAATTGTAACAGACCTGATAATGCATCTTCACATTTTCTATACAGAGGCTCAAAGCAGAGAAAGCCGAGATCACACGATTTCTACAGAAACCCAAGACTCCCCAGCAGGCCACAAAGGTAAGATTCCTCTGACTGACTAGATTGAACAAGAAGAAAACAAAATCTAAATCACAAAATGGTGGCAATTTAATGTGAAACTTTCTTTCCTTTTTGTCTCTCCCACTTCAGACACTTGCGTCTGCCTGTGAAAAGTTTGCTCCGTTTGAGATAAAGGAGCATATGTGTCTGGCGCCACTGACCCGGGTCCAATGTGAGGAGGCGGTCCTGGAGGAACTGGACCGGTACCTGGCTAAACCTGATGGAAGCCTGGACGGCCTGAGGGACTGGACCAGAAATGAGCCCCGCAGATCAGGCCAGACCAAGCCCAGAAGCACAGACCCTATGAGGTGAGACCATCACACCTGGAAAAAAATCAAGAGTTTTGCGTGGCCATAATATTAGTGACTTGAATTACTGAACTCTTGACATTTTTGTGAAACTATGAAGAATCAGGGATTCCTACGGGAAAGAGGCCATTTTATGTATCCTCCTATTTTGACTTTGTCGTTGGCCCCTCTTTCTGTTCTCTGCATAGGGAGTGTATGGTGGTGGTTGAGGGCCCTAAACCGGACGGTGTGCCTGACCGTCAGCGCTACGGCCGCATGAAGCTCCTTCAGTTCCGTGAGAACTACCGACCTGCCTATTGGGGCACGTGGAGGAAAAACAGCCCCCACATCTCCCCTCGCTGCCCTCTCAGAAAGGACAAGGTGAGGCTTCACTCATTCTCTGACCATGATCCTTTTCAAGCCTTTTACTTCTTAGTTTCTGCCATATTGCTCTCATTTAGGCCCTCTGTAGCTCAGTTGGTAGAGCATGGCGTTTGCAATGCCAGGGTTGTGGGTTCGATTTCCCACGGGGGGCCAGTATGAAAATGTATGCACTCACTATAACTGTAAGTCGCTCTGGATAAGAGCGTCTGCTAAATGACAAAAATGTAAAATTGACCCTGTCATATTCGATATGAGAAAATAATGTGGGGGGGGGGATCGATACCGTAACATATCTATATTTGACCCAAGGTATAGATTTGTAATTGTTTTATTTTATAATAATGTTTTTACCTTGTATCGTTAGCTAGCGCTAGTCGGCTGTACCTGCGCCAAAACTCTGGTATTTTTCATCCTAAAGCTTGTTCCCATCTTTTTAAATAATGAGCCAACATGTTTTCAGCACTTATTTCCCTAACTGATCAAAACTCGTTTTCTCATGCTCTCTTGTCTCTCTGCAGCAGACATATAGTGAGCAATCGTCAAATCACAGTATTGATTTGCTATACGAATAGAATTGTGAGAATCGCAATACATATCGTATCGGCACCTACAGTGGGGGAAAAAAGTATTTAGTCAGCCACCAATTGTGCAAGTTCTCCCACTTAAAAAGATGAGAGGCCTGTAATTTTCATCATAGGTACACGTCAACTATGACAGACAAATTGAGAGAAAAAATCCAGGAAATCACATTGTAGGATTTTTAATGAATTTATTTGCAAATGATGGAGGAAAATAAGTATTTGGTCACCTACAAACAAGCAAGATTTCTGGCTCTCACAGACCTGTAACAACTTCTTTAAGAGGCTCCTCTGTCCTCCACTCGTTACCTGTATTAATGGCACCTGTTTGAACTTGTTATCAGTATAAAAGACACCTGTCCACAACCTCAAACAGTCACACTCCAAACTCCACTATGGCCAAGACCAAAGAGCTGTCAAAGGACACCAGAAACAAAATTGTAGACCTGCATCAGGCTGGGAAGACTGAATCTGCAATAGGTAAGCAGCTTGGTTTGAAGAAATCAACTGGGAGCAATTATTAGGAAATGGAAGACATACAAGACCACTGATAATCTCCCTCGATCTGGGGCTCCACGCAAGATCTCACCCCGTGGGGTCAAAATGATCACAAGAACGGTGAGCAAAAATCCCAGAACCACACGGGGGGACCTGCAAAGTAACAAAGCCTACCATCAGTAACACACTACGCCGCCAGGGACTCAAATCCTGCAGTGCCAGACGTGTCCCCCTGCTTAAGCCAGTACATGTCCAGGCCCGTCTGAAGTTTGCTAGAGTGCATTTGGATGATCCAGAAGAGGATTGGGAGAATGTCATATGGTCAGATGAAACCAAAATAGAACTTTTTGGTAAAAACTTAACTCGTCGTGTTTGGAGGACAAAGAATGCTGAGTTGCATCCAAAGAACACCATACCTACTGTGAAGCATGGGGGTGGAAACATCATGCTTTGGGGCTGTTTTTATGCAAAGGGACCAGGACGACTGATCCATGTAAAGGAAAGAATGAATGGGGCCATGTATCATGAGATTTTGAGTGAAAACCTCCTTCCATCAGCAAGGGCATTGAAGATGAAACGTGGCTGGGTCTTTCAGCATGACAATGATCCCAAACACACCGCCCGGGCAACGAAGGAGCATTTCAAGGTCCTGGAGTGGCCTAGCCAGTCTCCAGATCTCAACCCCATAGAAAATCTTTGGAGGGAGTTGAAAGTCTGTGTTGCCCAGCGACAGCCCCAAAACATAACTGCTCTAGAGGAGATCTGCATGGAGGAATGGGCCAAAATACCAGCAACAGTGTGTGAACCTTGTGAAGACTTACAGAAAACGTTTGACCTGTGTCATTGCCAACAAAGGGTATATAACAAAGTATTGAGAAACTTTTGTTATTGACCAAATACTTATTTTCCACCATAATTTGCAAATAAATTCATTAAAAATCATACAATGTGATTTTCTGGATTTTTTTCCCTCATTTTGTCTGTCATAGTTGACGTGTACCTATGATGAAAATTACAGGCCTCTCTCATCTTTTTAAGTGGGAGAACTTGCACAATTGGTGGCTGACTAAATACTTTTTCCCCCCACTGTAAGTATTGTGATTATATCATATCGTGAGGTCCCTGGTAATTCCCAGCCCTAACTGGTGGTGACATCAGTTGTACTGTGACTTCCATGTTTGAGCTTTCTATGTAGGACTAAAGTCTGTGTTCCCTCTAGGACCTGTTGGATTATGAGGTGGACAGTGATGAGGAGTGGGAGGAAGAGGAGCCAGGAGAGTCCCTGTCACACAGTGAAGGGGTAGGTCTCTTTTGAATACTCTTCTGTCAGTGTTTGATGCTCTGCTGTTCTGTTTGATATCAAGATTAGCTCATTGTTGCAAACTGAATCATTATAGCTGATTGTGAGGACCCAAACTGATTCTTGTTTTTGCAGGAGGATAATGATAATGATGGAGGTGAAAATGATGATGATGATGAGGATGGTTTCTTCGTACCACATGGATACCTATCAGACGGGGAGGGGGCATTGGAGGAAGAGGTACGTTAAATTGCCCTTAATCCGTATGCTTGTCTCATTCATTTTCTTTAATGTTCTTTTCCAGTGGACTGGTTTGACTAATAACAGATATAAAGAGCTTGAAGTGCTTTACATTGTAAGGGGTGAAGACCTTTATCCACTACTTATTTTTAGCACACTTAATTGCTCCTATCCCTGTGGTGCGATTCTAGGAGGGTGGCGACCCAGAGAAGCAGAAGGTGCGTCAGAAGCTGAAGGCCCGGGAGTGGGATGAGCTGATGGCCAAGAAGAAGGTGAAGGTGCTAGAGGCTGTGGTGAGGGGCTGTGTGTGGGAGGGAGAGGGTCCCCATCTGGAGCTCTTCCAGCAGTTCGCTGTGTGCCTGCTGGAACCCCTGCCCAAGCCAGAGCCCACAACCCCAGAGGACAACACACAGAAACTACAACAGAAACTACAAGAAGATGAGCAGCGTGAGTACATTCTTATACCTGGGGGAACATCATGCATAAAAGCAGAGTTCATTTGTCTCTGCAATATTGTCTTTTACACCTTTTCGGCCTTAGCCTTGTCACTGCTAAGTGATCATTTGAGTCATAATGTTTTACTGACTGAAGTGTGATAAAATGTAGGTCTTGGTTTGTATGGAAAAACTGACCGGGTATGTTTGTCTTTGATATGCTTATCTGAGTTCTTACAGAATGATGTAAATTAGTAATTTGGTTGAGCCATGTGCTATTCGAATAGTGTCACTAGCTAGGTTTCCACCCAATTGGCTACAGATTTTCAGGCGAATATTCTAAAATTCGCATAAAGAAAATATGTGCGTTTTCCCACCAGTGGTGTTTCCACCAAACTGACTTGTTGCAGATAAAAATATGTGCGTGATGACTTAGTGCACACAATGTAATTGTTCATTTACTGAATAGAAATCTGAAGTTCAATGTGTTTCCATCGCATTTTCGACTCTACTGATAGTTTTGTCACAAATTGTTACATTAATGAAATAGCAAATGTGCCTACTCTGGTCTTGGCACATGCACTCTAGCCAACCGCTAGAGCTCAAGATACATTATGAGATTATTATGGATATTTTTATTTGTCAAACGGCAGTCAAGCATCGATCATCATGTCACCAAAATAAGACCCTCAATATTTATTCAAGATCACCGTGCACTTTCACCACCCTGTGAAGTTCATCAGAACTTATTTAGTTTGTAGTCTAATAAATGGCATGGTTTCCCTAGTCATAGTGGGAAGACAACACACCATATCATCGCGTGACTACAAGTTTACTTCGATATGATGGTTGTTATATCAATATTTGCGCATAAAGGCGTTTCCACCACCATTTCTCGCATAATACATTTTACAGACAAAAAGATTATCTGTCGCCATTTATAAAAATGTACAGAAAATTCCTGTTTCCATCACAGCTGTTGTGATTTTTTTTTTGTTGTGCGGTATGACTTTACTCGCATAAAAACTTGTGATGGAAACGTGGTTAGTTTTGGCTGACATTATTTGAGAGTAGCTCTGAATGGTTAAACTGTAGTTACCTGTGCCCTAGCTGACTTCAGCATGCATTTATGTCTACACCAGGGGTGTCAAACACATCGTTTTTTCCCGGGGGGGAAATTACCTCAATCTACATTGAAATGAATAACACCAAATCGAAACTGTAGAAATTATAATAGACCTACAACTAAACAGTCTTTACTCTATCCGCTTGGTAACAATCACCAAAACAAAAGCTACACAGACAGGGAGCGTCAAAATAAAATACAAATGGATAGAGCACCATCTTTTAGCAAATTTTGACGGAAAGGAAATAATTTGGATGGAAAGGGAATATAACCCATCTTTAGTGTGGCCCTCCTGACCTCGGTAAAGACCGAAAGCAGCCAAATGACTTTACCCCTGGTCTACACCAAAATCTATATTTTGATTGTGGTGATGGATGGAACACCCAAGACTGACATGAGATGTACCTGTACTCATCACGAAGCACTCATTGACAGCTGTCTAGACTGCAAGGGAGACTGACGTCTAAACTAAAGACAATTCACAATCTCATAAGAGATCTGTATTGTTTTCAGACCAGCTTTATATGCGGCATCGAAGTCACTTAGTATTTACTGTGCCAACAGTTGATTGTGAACTGTCTTCATGGCTGACCTGAGATGCTCAATAGCTGCTTGAGGGAGTATATGTTCATATTGAATGCCACCTTTCGCCCAAACTTTGCATGAATAAGCCTAGATGTAGAATGTGTTTTTAAAAACCTTCCTATCTCCCATACCATATCTTCAGTGCTGTTCCAGTTGTTGCCACTGCTCCATGGAAATGTGAACAGCAATAAGGTGATCATCACAGAGTTCCAGGAGTTTTGTCGCCAGCAATCGACCTCGCCCATCTCCAGCCCTCAGAACTTAGGAGACAACATCCCCACCAGGTGACTTCATACCTGATTTTACTTAACGTTTCCTATTTTACAGAATTAGTCAGTCATTATTAAATGTGCAGATGCTTTATAAAAATGTTCATTTTTCATAACTGAAATGGACTTCCGTCCTCTTCTGCTCTAGGATCCGTCTCAAGCGCCTTATCAAGGGGAATGCTATGTATGAGAAACGCTCAGCCTACAGACGCTGCTGCTGGTACGTAAAATCAGATGTCCTGGCTCGCTTCATCCAGGAGGCCCTCCCTGTACCCTGCCAGTGGAACTACCTCACCTCAGGGACCCATGTGCCCCGTGAAGAGGCCCCAGCGGCCACAGGCTCACAGGGCAACTCCCCAACCACCCCCCAGCCCTCCACCACACCCTCCTCCTCCAAGACCCCCTCCAACAAGAGGAAGAGTGCCGGCAGCATGTCCATCACCAAGTTCATGAAGAAGGCTGCCAACCCGGAGCAGGTAGGACACGTCTGGTGAAATCTTCATATGAGGTACTTTTGTTCTGATCCTATTGCTTTGACCGTTATGTCAGATCCTAATGAGTACTCCTTTCTCTCAGGCAGAGGCGATGAAGACGGACGGGTTCCAGGCAGACACAGAGGAAGATGAGGATGAAGCAGACTGCGTCATAATCAGCACACACAAAGGTCAGTTTCCTGGCATATTGTCTGCCTTTAGACATGAGTTAAGAGGAATTGAGAGACACAGAGTAATAGTTTGTCCTAGATATTTCTAGGAGGGGAGGCATTGACAGTGAATGTCTTCCTCTGCAGGATCCTCCAGAAAAGATACCTCGCCCACAGAGAACGAGAGCACAGAACAAATGGAGGTGACCCCCTCTGACACAGCTGCTCTCCTCCTGCCCCGGGCCACTCCCACCCTGGCCACCGCCTAATGACTGCCCCTGACTCTGGGTGTGTGCATTTGTCACAGATAGAATCAGGTCTTCAATCAAGATAACACACTCTGGTAGTGGCACATATGCCACCCACACGGTATTACACCCCCACTCTGCTCCTCTAAGTACCAGACAGCTGCCTGTAAAAAGGAAAGTGTCTGACAAAGAAACTCATTGTGTATTTTGTTCCAATGTTCAACCATTCATTACTTGGTTCAGTTGTCAGACATGTTTATATGGATGTCTTTGCTTGGTGAGGAGTGGAAGGTGGCTCAGACAGTCAAGGCTCTGCTACCACAGCCAATTGAGTGGACCAGGCCCACTGAAGTAGTTGCTTTCTGCTTCACCGTAGGCCCAGTGTCCTCCTTTTTATATATGTATTTGTTTTAAAATAAATAAATACTTGAACTGGTTGAATTCATTAAAAATAAATAATGATTAAATGTAATGCACTTTTATATGCCCTCCTCCCCCTGCCTTATCTGGATGCCTTTATCAACATGCCACCACTCATCCTTCCTATCAAGAAGTAGTTCATGTTTTGTTAATGGATTTCATTCAATATGGCAAGTGCTGTTGTCTTTCAGGCTGCTAAACAGTGCTTATTGTACTATTCTAAACTTCCATTTTGTGTGTTCTTAATAATGGTTGAGGTGAAATAGTAAATGGCCGTCCATTATTACAAACGTTGCGGTTTGCCTTACATTTTTCAGTGGCAGAGAATGCTGTCCTGTCCTAACTGTTGCAGTTTGCAGGTATGATTAAAGGTGTCTCACAATTTCTTTAAATAAAGCATTATTTAAAAATGAACATGCTTTTATGTGCAGGCATTTGCATATTTACATTTTAGTCGTTTAGCAGACACTCTTATCCAGAGCGACTTACAGTTAGTGAGTGCATTTTTTAATTTTTTCATACTGGCCCCCCGTGGGAATCGAACCCTCAACCCTCGCGTTGCAAGCGCCATGCTCTACCAACTGAGCTACATGGGGCCCTGCATATCCTGAATGTTTTTAATTTTGGGGGATACAGCAATATCTTGATGCAACCGTCGTCTTTATTACAGGCAGGTTTAAAAGCAACAAAACACATGACTGAGCTTTGATACCTAGACAGAGCATGACCTTCATTTTCTAGTTATTCCTGAATAAGGCTAGGAAAACAACATTTACATCTTGGTACATAAGCCAACTGCTTTGCTAATTGTTGCTGTTCATGCCCGGACTGAACTGAAACATTGGATTCACGCCTGAATATGCGTGCTGTGAGTAGAGGTAGGTTGTTGTCATTCCAGCTACCACCAGGCTAAAGACTAGGGGATAAACCTCAGCTCATTTTGTCACCATGTTGTGTGTATGTCCTTTCATTGTTGGTCTCATACAGTACAAACCATCCAAAAACAAACAACCACCACTATCACAGATTTCCATTCTGCTGAAATCAAATAACATTCTTGATAATTTAGAAATATAATTAAAATAGGAAATTACTCAATTGAATGACTGCTGTGACAAAACCCTAATTTTTTCCCTCATATTCAATAACAAAGGGAACTTAAACATAAGGAGCTCTGTCCAGTAACCTTCACTTTTAATGTACATCATTTGAAATGCTTGCTGCTGCAACCTTAAAGTGCAAGTGATTTCCAATACAATATTACAAGTTCTGTCTTAAATAAAATAGCTTATCCATTATACATTGTGGTACACAGCTGGTCTGGCTCACAAAAGCAGCAACCGAACCCTTACCACTAGACAACCAGTCTGGTCTCAACCACCCATTCGCTCGTACATGTAAAGCTAGTATATCTATGAGCGTATTTGTTGTGTAAGCAGGATGCATGTTGAAGCGGAGCAGAAGGGTGACACTGACAACAAGATCTCATACCATGCTGAGCTCTGATTGCTTAATCATAGGTGTCAGGGTAAGGGTAGTCGTTTCAGATCCTCATCCTACATTCAGAGTACAATACAAAAAACACTGCATGGCATTATGTCTCCTCTTAGAAACCCCTGTTAGTATTTCCTTTAAAGGATTAGTAGTGTATTTCTACAGCCTTTGAAATGTGGTTTGGGGATGAAGGTGTCATCTCCAACCTGGGAAGGAGGGAGGTTAGGAGGTGGAGGCTCAGGAAGGTGGTAGGACGAGGATAGGAGACGCAGGGACAGTTCAGCCAAGGGTCCGAATATTCTCCAGTAGCTCTGGCTTGAGGAGTGCAGGACCCTTTCCACCGGCGGCAGCAATGTCCGCTTGCACTGCGGCATTCCAAGAAAATGTCAGCAGAACCGCAGGGACCTCCAAGAGAGAGACATTAGTCAGCACCTTTGTACAACAAAAGTAAATGGATTGCATTGCTTATTTTGCCTGATATTTACATTTCTGACAATACTATCCGTGTGTCTCTGCTTACCAGGCTACATTCATTCAGGGCCACCTCTTGGTCCTCTCTGAGTTTGTGTCCTCCAGGCGCCACCAGCTCAAAGGGCTGCCAGCCGTCCACCAGGGAGTCCCGCACAAACTGGAAGAGCACAGACACCTTGTCCCAGGCCAGGAAGGTGCCTGAAGGGCATAATGTGTGATAAGTAAAGCTGTGCTTTTACCGGTATTTACAGCATTTCCACTAGTGTTGCTGCAGGTAGGAAATCCTACGAAATGTTCTGTAATTGTTCCAAGTGGTCTCCAATCAATCAATGTCTGGTTGTGTGTGAGAGTTTGGTGGGGGGAATCGCCTAAGCCACGGGACGCGTAACTCTGCAAATCTTAAATCGCACAAAACCTATTATTTGGCAGGAATACTATTTGTAAATCAGTGATTGTATACCTCACTTTGTTCAAGCTGATTCTCGCCAACGGACCATGGAAGTTATATTGTAGCGTAGTTTGGGTTTTGTGCAATTAAGATTTGCAGAGCTACGAGTCCTGCCAAATGTATCTAAGAATGATTGTCAGTGTCAACAAGTTATAAGCGCCCCAATGCATTTGACTGGTGAATACCTACAGTACACCAGCTGTTAGAAACCAGAAACATTCTTTGCTCATGTTTATACATCTGCTTATCACATTAAAGTAGGTGTTTGCTGACAGATACAGACCCTGCAGTATGTTTCCATCAGGCAGTCGTATTCTCAGCAGGGTGTAGTTGTATTTCCTCCTCTCCCTCTGCTCCTCTCTCTCCCGCATGGCCTTGGTACGCAGCATGGCGTTCTTATCCACCGCCTCGCTCCTGAATACCACACACAACCACCATGACTTTATCTTACACACACACAATAGTCATAACTGGAACAAATCACCCAACAATAATACACATATCATGTGCACTAACGGAGTGTACCCTACTCACACTTAAATACTGGTACAGTAATCATTTAACACAATAACAAATACAATTCTTATCAGAGAATCAGTGCCATCAGTGAGTCCATACTTTTGCTGCTGCTCCCTCTTGAGCTCCTCTGCAGTGAGGTTGTAGAACTCTGGGGGTAGTTCGAAGCGCATGGCATTGGGGGAGGGTCTGAAGGCCTGGGGCTGGCGGTCCAGCTGGGCTCTGACTGGTTCTCCCCTTTGCAGCCGGTCCCTACTCTCCTTCATCACCTCCAGGGCCTCCGGGTCATGCTCCATCAGCACCAGGAACTCTTCACTCTCCTCTGGGAAGGCAAGATAAATCAGCAAATTATTACCCCGGGTAACACCTATAGCAGTGGTTCTCAACTGGCTTTACATCGGGACCCAAATTGAACCAGGTTGTCTCTGTCGCGATCCAATATTCGTGTCACTTTTTTGTTGTTGTCAAAGATGCAATGTGGAAAACTATTTTTAATGCTATATTGATAGTAAATGTAACAATGATATGACAAGGGAACAACAGTCCCACCTTTTTCATTGTCAATAATTCCATTTTGCCCATATTCTTGATGAAGAATGTTAAGTTCAGTGGTTTGAGACCACAAAATCAACCAAATCCAGTAAATATTGCAGCTATTTCCTCTATATTGAAAACACTGTGAGAAAGAATGTTCTGCCACAAGAGCATTAGTGAGGTCGGGCACTGATGTTGGGCGATTAGGCCCGCAGTTGGCATTCCAATTCATCCCAAAGGTGTTCGATGGGGTTGAGGTCAGGGCTCTGTGCAGGCCAGTCAAGTTCTTCCACCCCGATCTCGACAAACCATTCCTGTATGGACCTCGCTTTGTGCACGGGAACATTGTCATGCTGAAACAGGAAAGGGCCTTCCCCAGAACTGTTGCCATAAAGTTGGAAGTCCAGAATCGTCTAGAATGTCATTGTATGCTATAGCGTTAAGATTTCCCTTCACTGGAACGAAGGGACCTAGCCCGAACCATGAAAAAACAGCCCCAGATCATTATTCCTCCTACACCAAACTTTACAGTTGGCACTATGCGTTCCGGCAGGTAGCGTTCTCCCGGTATCCGCCAAACCCAGATTTATCGATCGGACTGCCAGATGGTGAAGCGTGATTCATCACTCCAGAAAACGCGTTTCCACTGCTCCAGAGTCCAGTGGTGGCGAGCTTTACACCACTCCAGCCAACGCATGGTGATCTTAGGCTTGTGTGCGGCTGCTCGGCCATGGAAACCCATTTCATGAAGCTCCCGACGAACAGTTCTTGTGCTGACATTGCTTTCAGAGGCAGTTTGGAACTCGGTAGTGAGTGTTGAAACCGAGGACAGGCGATTTTTAGGCGCTACAGCACTCGGTGGTCCCGTTCTGTGAGCTTGTGTGGCCTACCACTTCGCGGCTGAGCCGTTGTTGCTCCTAGACGTTTCCACATCACAATAACAGCACTTTCAGTTGACCGGGGCAGCTCTAGCAGGGCAGAAATTTGACAAACTGACTTGTTGGAAAGGTGGCATCCTATGACGGTGCCATGTTGAAAGTCACTGAGCTCTTCAGTAAGGCCATTTTACTGCCAATGTTTGTCTATGGATATTGCGTGGCTGTGTGCTCGATTTTATACACCCATCAGCAACAGGTGTGGCTGAAATAGCCGAATCCACAAATTTGAAGAGGTTTCCACATACTTTTGTATATATAGTGTATTTAAAAAAAATACTCAGACACTCATTCAAAACCTCCCGCGACCCACCAGTTGAGAATCGCTGCCCTATAGTATGCCTCTGCAGAAACATACTAGGCCACACAGACTATGGGAAGCACAGATTGTGCATTTGGATAGGTTTACCCTGTCCCTCCACATCCAGCATGATGCTCTGAAAGCCCACAGCCTGCAAGAACTCACGACTGCCCTCCACAGTCTTCACCTTCTCCTAAGGAGAGAGAGAGAGAGAGAGGTGAATGGACCACACCGACAGAAAACATTGAGTCTCACATTACCCTCATGTCTCAAATTTACCTGGAACACCTTGTTACTGAGTTTGATCTTCCTGTACTTCTCCTCTGTGGGGTTCTTACAGATGTTTTCAATGTACCTGACAAGATGGGTGAAAATGATGGGGTGTCAGGACACTCATCGAATGAACTATTGTCAACAGGACAATGTAAATCACACATTATGCAGGGTTTCCCTAACTCAGTCCTGGCCTCCCCCCTGTGTGTACGTTTTGGTTTTTGCCCTAGCACTACACAGCTGATTCAAATAATCAAAGCTTGATGATGAGTTGGTTATTTGAATCAGCTGTGAAATGCTAGGGCAAAAATCAAAACGTACACACATGGGGGGCCCTAGGACAGAGTTTGGGAAACCCTGCATAATAGGACAGTTCCATTCCCCTCTGTTTCTCACTTGCTTATGATGTCCACTGCAGCCTTGACTTTCTCCCTGTCCTTGTTGAAGGTATAAACCATCATAATGGAAGCCTCCACTGCATCCTCTTCAAACCGCTGTTGGACAAGACAAGGGTTATCATGTGTACTCAGTCAGGACCATACTAATGAAAAAGGGTTTGGGGAATATTAGTGCTAAGGCTTTTTACATCAATTCTTCATGTTAGTCAATATCAGATAATGCAATCATGATTATCATGCAATCATGACATCATATGACTTTAAAAAGAAGAATCACTTTCAGACCTACCATGAAAATGGCCTCTTTAATGCGCACTTCTCTCTCGCTCTTAGTTAAGGTGGCTCCAGTAAGTGGGCAGGTGAAATACACACCTGTTACTGAGAGAAATGCCAGATCCTTAACACTGGAGCCCTGCAAAAGATGACACATACTAGCTGTAAATAACAACTCAATGGCAGTAGTGGCACAATTCATTTGTATGTGAGCAACAGTAAGGGAAAATTCATTCATGTAATGTATTCCTTGCCTCAACAGCTGTTGTCTTTTCCTTCTCAGTCGCTGCTACTGCTGCAGCTTCTGCCTCAAGCTCTCTTTTCACTGTGGAGTGATAAATAAAGAAAGACCATTAACCCACAAACCAATTCTCTATTTCTGACCACTGCTGTGAAACACCTGCACAGTTTTGACAACATCATCAGTCATTCAAGCAGCAGTTGTTGGATGCATAGGTATCCATCTCACCCTGGAGCCGGATGGCATCCTGTGAGGTTTGTACCCGTGGGCGTGGTTGCCCCTCGATCCTGGCCAGGGCTGCAGCCCCTGCCTTCTGAGCTCCTTCAGTGGGAGCAGCATGACGGGGCTTGGCAGGGCCAGTGCTCTGCACCACTCGGGGCTTGGAGCTGCAGGGAACAGAATGGGACACGTTCACGATTTGACTGCACTTACACTGCAAGCTGTGATGTATAAAGTTATATGGCTAGCTAGCTACAATCACAAGGGTTTGCATTGAATAGAACAGGCTATGGTGAAGTAGTCTGGCTGATACCAAACTCAAAGTCCTCCTGACTTCAGAGTCTGGAAAGGCTGTTTTGATTTATTGGCACGATGCGTTGATAATGAAGGGGGCTGTGCTTTTACTGGTTGGTTCTCCTCTGGGTCTTTCTCACTCCACGTGTCTTTATTTTATGTCTAATAGGTTAGGTTATTCTCACTCAAACACCCACAGCCCCCGAGAGCTGCCCACTTCCATTACAACTGTTGAATTTTCAAATCCAAACGAGAGTACTCAAACATATAAATATTCTCTTTTGGTCTCAACCCCCCAGGAAAAAAAACTTTTGAGAGAACCAATCAATGAGTCGGCTCCATTTCTGAGAGAATATCACATTAACAAACGGCCTCCTTTCCAGACCAGTGAGTCACAGCTCTTCCTCCATTGAGATCCTATTAAATTGGTCCGTGCCACATTTTAAATGGTTATGGTAGGGTCGTCCCAAGGATCCGGAGAGCACTGACCCTATTAAATTAGAATTTAATTATAAAGTACTCAAATTCCTGACTATGTCTTCCTCGCTGTGTGGTCACGTGGGTCCCGTAAACCAGGATAATGTAATGACGATGCACCGTCCTGAACATTAGAAAAGCAAACATAACGGAGCCCATCCAAGTCACGGGGAAGGCAACTCTACGGATCAGACATACCATACACTAGCAGTGTCGATATAACCAGCTTTTCAACAACTGAACTGTCAACAGCATGAGCATAGCAGTTAGCTGGCTACGTTAGCTTGCTAGTTCGCTAGAAAAGTTTGTTTACCTGCCGCCTTCTGCGAGTTTCTTTCCTGGCCCCGCTGACTTGAATTTGATATCTTTCTTTATGTCCTCGAAAAATTTCTTCATTGTTTACTGTTTTTCACAGGAAAATAACCTCAAATACAGCACAGGTAACTAGGTGCGCGGAATGAGAAATGCTTAGTAAATTGTTTACATCGAAATGCAAGGGTCGTTACCACAGACACAAAGTCATACTCCACCTATTTCAACAATTTATTCTTAAATGTGATTTTAAACCTAACCTTAACCACAATGCTAACCTTATGCCTAACCGTAAATTAAGACCAAAAAGCTAATTTTTGTTTTCATGAATTTTTACAATGTAGCACATTTGGACTTTGTGGCTATGCTATCTAGTGGAAACTCGGGAAGGAAGAGGAAATAGAACCAGAAACGGGCCTGTCACACTGAGTAGTGGTAAATTATGTACAGCGGCCTCTGGTGGTCTGGATGTACAATCATGCTGCTGCGTTCTAATGAAATAAATTAGTTTTTCTCAATTGCGTACAAGCAATTTTTTGATTTATGTGGAAACGTATCTATAGCAGAACAGCAATTATCAAATGCTCAAATATATGAACAGAACTTCTGATCATTTTCTTGCCTTTGTACCGGACTTGCATATCTTAGACCACCTTTTGCAAAATACAAATGTCATCAGTGAATACAAAAATCACTGTTTAGCATGGGCTTTTCTAGGATTTGAAGACATTGGGGGCTTAGCCCAAAGCCAGTAGGGGGGTCCGGATGCATTCTCCCCCCGGAGGAATTTCAACAGCATGAATTTGGTGCACTTTGAGATGAATATTGAGAGATTAGAACATTGAGATTTGAGATATTTTTTAGGTAATTTGCACCTTCCACAGCAGACACTGCCAGTACTCAATTACATTTGCTACTGTGGGTCTCTCTACTCTGGAACACTCTACTCTCTAATCTGGAACACATAGCCTACATCTACAGTGTATTGCCAAAAACCACTCAACATCAAACAGACTCTGACCTGTCCAATGAGTCAAAACTGATTAAAGAATCCCACAGTACCCAAACAAACACACTCTCTCTCTCTTCACACACACACACACACACACACACACACACACACACACACACACACATACACACACACACACGGTGCAGCAATTAGAATCCATAGAGCAGCTTTAAGTGATACAGTCTACTGTGTGCTCACCCTTCCTCTGCCTCTCTCCATCACATTCTCTGTGTCGTCTGTTACGGTCTCTCGTCTGCCCTCTTCTGTTGCTATCTCTTAGTATTCTATGTTGCTGTCATTTGTCTACCCTCCTCTCTCGTCCTGTCCTGATTGTAAAAAGTGTAAAAGTAAACAATTGTTTTAATAGTAATTTCAGACTTTTTCACCAAAGCTGGGACCGAGAGACTGAAAAACAGCTTCTATCTCAAGGCCATCAGACTGTTAAATAGCCATCACTAGCATATTAGAGGCTGCTGCTGCCTATAGAAATAACTGGCCACTTTAAGAAATGTAACACTAGTCACTTTAATAATGTTTACATATCTTGCATTACTCATCTCATATGTACAGTGGGGAGAACAAGTATTTGATACACTGCCGATTTTGCAGGTTTTCCTACTTACAAAGCATGTAGAGGTCTGTCATTTTTATCATAGGTACACTTCAACTGTGAGAGACGGAATCTAAAACAAAAATCCAGAAAATTACATTGTATGATTTTTAAGTAATTAATTTGCATTTTATTGCATGACATAAGTATTTGATCACCTACCAACCAGTAAGAATTCCGGCTCTCACAGACCTGTTAGTTTTTCTTTAAGAAGCCCTCCTGTTCTCCACTCATTACCTGTATTAACTGCACCTGTTTGAACTCGTTACCTGTATAAAAGATACCTGTCCACACACTCAATCAAACAGACTCCAACCTCTCCACAATGGCCAAGACCAGAGAGCTGTGTAAGGACATCAGGGATAAAATTGTAGACCTGCACAAGGCTGGGATGGGCTACAGGACAATAGGCAAGCAGCTTGGTGAGAAGGCAACAACTGTTGGCGCAATTATTAGAAAATGGAAGAAGTGCAAGATGACGGTCAATCACCCTCGGTCTGGGGCTCCATGCAAGATCTCACCTCGTGGGGCATCAATGATCATGAGGAAGGTGAAGGATCAGCCCAGAACTACACGGCAGGACCTGGTCAATGACCTGAAGAGAGCTGGGACCACAGTCTCAAAGAAAACCATTAGTAACACACTACGCTGTCATAGATTAAAATCCTGCAGCGCACGCAAGGTCCCCCTGCTCAAGCCAGCGCATGTCCAGGCCCGTCTGAAGTTTGCCAATGACCATCTGAATTATCCAGAGGAGGAATGGGAGAAGGCCATGTGGTCTGATGAGACAAAAATAGAGCTTTTTGGTCTAAACTCCACTCGCCGTGTTTGGAGGAAGAAGAAGGATGAGTACAACCCCAAGAACACCATCCCAACCGTGAAGCATGGAGGTGGAAACATCATTCTTTGGGGATTCTTTTCTGCAAAGGGGACAGGACGACTGCACCGTATTGAGGGGAGGATGGATGGGGCCATGTATCGCGAGATCTTGGCCAACAACCTCCTTCCCTCAGTAAGAGCATTGAAGATTGGTCGTGGCTGGGTCTTCCAGCATGACAACGACCCGAAACACACAGCCAGGGCAACTAAGGAGTGGCTCCGTAAGAACAATCTCAAGGTCCTTGAGTGGCCTAGCCAGTCTCCAGACCTGAACCCAATAGAAAATCTTTGGAGGGAGCTGAAAGTCCGTATTGCCCAGCGACAGCCCCGAAACCTGAAGGATCTGGAGAAGGTCTGTATGGAGGAGTGGGCCAAAATTCCTGCTGCAGTGTGTGCAAACCTGGTCAAGACCTACAGGAAACGTATGATCTCTATAATTGCAAACAAAGGTTTCTGTACCAAATATTAAGTTCTGCTTTTCTGATGTATCAAATACTTATGTCATGCAATAAAATGCAAATGAATTACTTAAAAATCATACAATGTGATTTTCTGGATTTTAGTTTTAGATTCTGTCTCTCACAGTTGAAGTGTACCTATGATAAAAATGACAGACCTCAACCTGCAAAATCGGCAGTGTTTCCTACTTACAAAGCATGTAATCAAATACTTGTTCTCCCCACTGTATATACTGTATTCTATAATATTCTACTGTTTCTTAGTCCATGCCGCTCTGTCATTGCTTGTCCATATATATATTCTTAATTCCATTCCTTACTTAGATTTGTGTGTATTGGGTATATGTTGTGAAATTGTTAGATATTACTGCACTGTCGGAGCTAGAAGCATAAGCATTTCGCTACACCCACAATAACATCTGCTAAACAAGTGTATGTGACAAAATGTGATTTGATTTGGTAGTACCCAACTCCCTAACAACCATCAAGTCCTAATATCCTGGTACTCAGGGCTCTATTGTCCCTCTAACCATTCTGACTTCAATGCAAATTAAATCGAAAATCACATCAAACACTTATCATCAGAACGGTATCATACTTTAAAAACGTATCTCACTGTGATGATCAGTTTGAAGAAAGTTCTATAGCAGGTTGAAACTGAGTGTAAAACATGGTCGTTCTGGATGTTGTTTCAAAGCGTAACACAACAAAATAGACAGCGCTTTCCAAGGTGTTGATTAATTCAAAACAACCATATGCATATTAGAACTTATGCATACGGATAGGTTTATGTGCTCAAGCCCGATTTATTTTAAGTTTTAGTATGATTGTGCCATTATACGATACATAGCCTACCATATATTACGAATTTCAGAAAAACATCAAACAAAACTGATTTAAGATGTCTTTGGTACATAATTAGTCAGGCCTATACCCCAAAATAAACACATTTGAGTAATCGCCTTTGAGTGTGACTGTATTATTATGCATACTGGATGGACTGGTTACCTTGTACTACGCTCCAAAATGTCTATACACGAGTCTGGGAGAGAAAGTATAGCCCTAGGCGATGATGTTGGTTCATTTATTGTGCAGGGCGGCTCACAGTTAGCCTATAATTATAGTGAATTTGTTTTTGACTTTGAATAGCCTTGTAATAGGGAATTTTTTTATTTTCATAACTAATTGGGTGACATTACCTTAAGCTATATAGAATATCTCACCACCTTGCGTTTCCCTCTAGTCTACTAATAGTCATACATTATTAGTTTAACTGAGGGTGTGACATTTTAGTCATATCTTACTCACACATTTCTTTATCACAGTGCGTCTGCCTTCACGTTCTTCGTACCCGGAATGTATGACAGTGTAAAATCAAACCGGGTGAAGAATAGGGCCCATCTGGCCTGGCGAGGATTCAGCCTCCTCGCTGCCCGGATGTACTCCAGGTTACGGTGGTCCGTCCAGACGAGGAAAGGGTGTTTCGCCCCCTCGAGCCAATGCCTCCACATGGTCAAAGCTCGGACAACAGCCAACAGCTCCCGATCACCAACGTCGTAGTTCTGCTCCGCCGGGCTGAGCTTCTTAGAGAAGAAGGCACAGGAGCGGAGCTTGGGTGGCGTGCCCGAGCGTTGGGACAGGACAGCGCCTATCCCTACCTCGGACGCATCCACCTCCACTACGAACGGTAGTGATGGATTGGGGTGGGCCAGGACCGGAGCTGAGGTGAACAGACCCCGCAGTCTCCTGAAGGCCAGGTCCGCCTCAGCAGACCAGCGGAGCCGGGACGGCCCACCCTTCAACAGGGATGTATTGGGAGCTGCGACCTTGCCAAAGCCCCGGATAAACCTTCGATAGTAGTTGGCAAAGCCAAGGAATCGCTGCACCTCCTTAACCGTGGTTGGAGTCGGCCAATTACGCACGGCTGAAATGCGATCTCCCTCCATCTCCACACCTGAGGTGGTAATGCGGTATCCGAGGAAGGAGACGGACTGCTGGAAAAACATACACTTCTCTGCCTTGGCATAAAGGTCATTTTCCAACAGTCGGGCCAGCACTTTGCGAACCAGGGACACATGCTCGGTGCGAGTAGCGGAATACACCAGGATGTCATCGATGTAGACCACCACACGGCGACCAAGCATGTCCTGAAACACCTCGTTCACAAAGGACTGGAAGACAGATGGAGCATTCATCAAACCGTAGGGCATCAGCAGGTATTCATAATGCCCTGTGGTTGTGCTGAATGCTGTCTTCCACTCATCCCCCTCCCGAACACGCAC